AAAGAAAAGAACACCATACCTACAGTGAAACATGGAGGAGGCTCGGTTATGTTTTGGGGCTGCTTTGCTGCGCCTGGCACAGGGTGCCTTGAATCTGTGCAGGGCACAATGAAATCTCAAGACTATCAAGACATTCTGGAGCGAAACGTACTGCCCAGTGTCAGAAAGCTCTGTCTCAGTCGCAGGTCATGGGTCCTCCAACAGGATAATGATCCAAAACACACAGCTAAAAGCACCCAAGAATGGATAAGAACAAAACGTTGGACTATTCTGAAGTGGCCTTCTATGAGTCCTGATCTGAATCCTATCGAACATCTATGGAAAGAGCTGAAACTTGCAGTCTGGAGAAGGCACCCATCAAACCTGAGACAGCTGGAGCAGTTTGCTCAGGAAGAGTGGGCCAAACTACCTGTTAACAGGTGCAGAGGTGTCATTGAGAGCTACAGAAAACGTTTGATTGCAGTGATTGCCTCTAAAGGTTGTGCAACAAAATATTAGGTTAGCGGTCCCATCATTTTTGTCCATGCCATTTTCATTTGTTTTATTATTTACAATATTATGTTGAATAAACAATCAAAAGAAAAGTCTGATTTCTATTAAATGTGGAATAAACAATGGTGGATGCCAATTACTTTTGTCAGTTTCAAGTTATTTCAGAGAAAATTGTGCATTCTTCGTTTTTTGTGGAGGGGTACCAACAAATTTGAGCACGTCTGTATGTATATATATATATATATTTTTTAATCAACATCACTGCTAGGGACAATTCAGTAGTCTCTGGACATTGGTAGGGACATGGGTGTATCTAATTCCAGGCAATTGAAACAGACAGAATTAAAATTATAGCGTTCAGCAAAGGAAAGAACATACCTGCAGAAGACAATATAACGCATTAATTATCTTATGGTCTTTTTCTTTCTGCACCTCTGATCCTAAACATGCAACATAACAGAACTAGATGCTAATATCTCTGCAGCGCTACATTGGTCACATGACATCGGCCCCTGCCGTAATACAAATGTCACCTAGAAAGCTAGGTGAAAACACCTGCAAAACTTGAAACAGCTGGGTAACATAACAGTGTTAACAGTAAACAATATACATTACAAGTTATGACAAAGATTAATCCAATCAAAGATTGGAAATAATTACTAAAGTGCATTTTAACCCTAACTGTTACATGCACAGGTTGGTAGGTAGACAGGCAGGATGGCCAGCCAATCATTTCATCCCGTGTTACAGTCCAACAGTCCATTTTTATTTTTATTTTTCTGTGAGAGCATTTGATTTAGTGACTGCTGTTGGGATGTAAAGAGAATTCCAACAAATATAACAAATTATTCTGAAATAAATGGCCTTCCCTAGCTTTGAAATAGCTGACTAACGTCTTCTGTGGCAAGTCTATGAAAATAATGACATTTTCAGGGCTATCTCAGCTGGGCCCTGACGACTGCACATTTACAACATGAAGCCAGTTCTGCATGAAGTTTGGCAAGACATTAAGATGAAACTCTCATTTAACCCCTTTGGCTTACAGTTGGCATTAAGGAAAAGAACGACACATTGCTGCAGCTCCTCTTTTCACCCTGTGTTGAAGGCTTCGTTTTAGCTAAGGAGTGATACATCTTGTCTCTAAATGATCTTTGTTGGGAGTTGCACATGCACAGTTCCTAGTTAACGACGACTAGCCAATCAGTAGCAGAGTAGAACGGGCCCTGAGAAGCTGGTAAACAGGGCTTCGGTTCAGCTGTATACGTTCCCCTTATCAGCTTGGCAACATGGACTGGTGCAAGAGTTTAAGAGTGGTGAGTTATTAATCTGTAACAAATGTATCTTTCATCCATAAAGTTTTAACTGAGCTCTGTCTCTACATCACAGTAACAACTTTATGTCCATTGACTGCCTGGAGGGTAGCTAGTGTTTGGAAGGGAGAGGAGGTGTGCTGCAGCTCAGTGTTTTTCCACCGGTGTTTGTGAGGGCGTGTCGGAGTAGCCGCTGGGCAAGCATTATGAAAAGTGGTTTGCTTTTGTGCATCCCTGTGACGACACAGGGATGAAAGGGAAACAGCTGGACTACAAACAAGCTGTTTTCAGGCAGTTCAGAGCAGAGTTTTCTGTGGAATATGGGAACTCCCTTTAGGGTGGACTTTGAGCTTTTTCACTTTGCAAACCTGTTACATGCACAAAAAAGGTATATAGTTCAATAAACGAGAGGGAAAAAGCCAAAAAGCATAATATGACCTCTTTAAAGAGTACTTCAAGATCAAGTGTCTACTTTATATGACAGCTGTCCGGAGATATTTTGTTTGGCACTGATTTTAAGAGTGGATTTTCATGTATTTCTTCCCAATTTGCCTAGTGCCCTCTGTGACGCTTGACACTGCTTGAAAATATGTGATTCCTCCATGTGTCATGGCGCCACTAGCTGCTTCTTTTCACCCAACTTTATTTCTCACTTTACAGACACCCTGCCCAACCAGGCGGTGTCGCTACTGCAGCGTCAGGGATGACCACCATTGCTGTCTTCCCAACCATGAGCATGGTCCAGACATGCTTGCAGCCCAGTATGGCTACTGAAAATAAAAGCCTGGATTTCTGTGATGACAAGCATGCCTTCCCTGCATTCAACTCCCATATTTTATAATGTCTCACATGCACATTGTCTTAAACACTTTACTGATTTTTTCACAGTTGGAAACACACACTCACCCAGTATTTCCTACAGTTCTTATATCTCTGGAAATAGGCAGAACACATGCTCTTGTCATAGTTGTAGGCATCCAAACACTTCTGGGAGGCATCGCTTTCCTGAAAAAAAAGAGAAGTTCCAACAACAGAACAGGATTAGAAACTTAAGAGACACTGTCACATCCCAGCCGCAGGCAGACATTTGATAGAATCAGAATCAGAAAAACTTAATGCAGAACGTAAAGGCTCGGTAAGCTTACTTCAATGCATGGGTTAATGTCCTGACTCCGAAGTCTTTTCATTTTATCCATTTGGATCTGTGTGCAGACAAACAATATAAACAGGTTCAGATTTTTCTCATAAGTATGGTCATGTTTTACCTTGTATGTGTGTGTGTGTGTGTGCGTGTGTGTGTGTGTGTGTGTGTGTGTATTATAAGTCATTCATCACATGATTAATGTGTATGTTGTTATGAATGCGACTTTCAAATGTGAACAAACTATAATATTGTAATTTTGCATTATAAATGTGTCTTTAATGTGTTCAAGATACTAGAGAAAGTCTTACTGGTCAGATGGATTGAAAACAAATCAACAATAACACCTTAATTTGAGTAACTGATTAATCAGTTAGTTGTTCTACATAAAACTGTTAATCAATTTTTTCAAGGTGTGATGTTCTGCCACGACATGGATTTGGCAATACCGTCTTTATCGTGATACATTTTTTTGCATATTAAAATGATTGTGCTTTGCTGAGAGAATATGTAGGTAGAGGGTTACACACATACTCATAAAACATAGAGCTACATCCAGTAACTACTATTTTCCAAGCAAACGCTGACTGGTAATACGAAGATGTTGACGATAAAGTTACAACCCAAGCCCGCCAATCTCTCTGTTATGGCCATGGGTTTAAGGTGCAGATCAAGAACTGCAACATACCCAGTCTGAACCTTGCCGGGGACCACTGCTGCATGTAATTCACCAATACAAATGATCTGTTCTGTGCAATTATATACACATCCAGATCCTAAATGTTTAATGTGTCAAAAAAATTTGTAAAGAACATTTACATAAGGTGCTGTTTTATAAGGTGATATTTTACTGTAAGCCTTTCCATTTCTGACAGGCTCCAAGACAACATATTACAGCTCATGTAAGGAGAGAACATCACAATCTCTTCACCCTGTGAAGCCTAGTGTCTATACCACATTTTATGCTATATAATATTCATAGTAGGCCTACCTAATGGAAGATGTCAGAAGTTATACCTCACAAAGCCAGAGTCCATTTAAAATACAGTTTAACTTTCAGCTTCGTTGTACACGTTTTGCTATCACAGACCTCAAAAGCTTTTTTATAAATACTCTGAATCTGTGCAAAATGTATGCCAAATATGAAATGGGCTCTCCCTTTTGCAGAACATTTCTTTATTCGTGTAAACCAGTGGTGAAAACTTTCATAATAAAAACGTACTTTTCTCAGCGGAGTTTGGCATGCTGGGCGCCCACATGTAACTTAACGTTGCTACATTGTAACAAGGTGTCCTTCATTGACGTTTCCAAACAGCTAACGGGGAAACCTTGCAGCGACTTTTCATTAAGGTGGAATGACTGGCATTAGGGGTGAAAGCCGACACATCTACACAACGTCAATAGGCCTACCTACCTTTTATAAATACCAACTTTTATCCAGCGGTAGGCTAACGACTTGTGCATGCACCTAATATCCACACCAGTGAAGGTTATCCAATTTTTCAAAAGACCAACATTGCCTGGCAAAGCTATTCACTCTAATGCAGCCTATCTATTCAGAAATGTGGTTGTCATTTATATCCCTTTGGAATGCTAGCAAGACTCTTTCTTATACAGGCTAGTGAAGATATTAGCTTAGGCTACGTGTAGCTAACTAATAAAGCACAAGCATAACCTCCCCGTCATGCTCAAAACAACTCCACTCTCGTTGCTGCAACAGCGCACCAGGAAAATCACCCTCACGTCACCGACAACTGACAGCAACATCAGCCAATAGGAAACCGTGAAAAGTAACGACGTAGACTGAAAATCCAATGAGCGAAGAGGATTTCTGAGCCGACATGTTGGTCTTCCTATCATTGTAAATTGAACTAAACCACGTTTAAACGATTGACAGTATATCTAGCAAGTCCAAAAATTGAGTTTTATTGAAAGGGACTGTAAGTGACGTTGAAGGGAAAGTGGCAGCGCCTAACACAAATCAAAAAGCACAAGTAGGCGGAACTTTGAAGGGGCGTGGCTAAGCCCTAGTGCGGTTGCATCGCAGCGCATACACAATGGCTGCTCGAAAGAGGGGAAAGCAAACAATTTTCAGGCCCGCCGCGTCTAGCAAAAAATATGAGAAAAAAATTATTAAAAATTCGGAAAATAGTTGAAAGTCAAGAAAAACTCAACAGAAAGGATGTTAAGGCGTCCGGGGTAAGTTTGATGTAAATTAGGTAAACGGTTACTCAGTTCTTGAATTAAAATATCGGGGTTATTTAAATTATGAGAGAGGGGTGAGCAGGGGAAAAAGTTTGTGTTAATCAGTACCCAGTTTGGGACCACAGAGAAAACCAAGGGAAGGCACAAGTATTGAAAACAATTTTAATAAATGATGTCACGGGTGATATTAGTGTCACGGTGCGTGTCCACGAACATTAAAGACCACAGGAATCAGTTGGATGAGGGAAAGTTGAGTAAAGTTGAACATAGCCTCCTCTCTTAGTTTATTTTTTAATATAATAAGGGCAGTGCGATGAGCACCGACAGGAGCACCCGCACTTGGATACAGCAGTTATGTCAATTTTCCTGCTATCTGCATTCAGATTTATTTTTGCCACATATAACGTAACACGCTTCATCATAAGTAGTGTCAACATGTCCTTATCGATAAGCATCTCCTTTCCAAAAGTGTACCGTGAAAATGCAACCCTGCGGCGCTACAGTGACATTTTGTCATACTGTTTCTCATTTAGGCGAAAAGCGATATGCATTTTCTTCCCCTGCAGGTATCGATCACGGTGTCATGCGGATAACACTTCGGCTATGACCCGCTGTGAGGCTAATAAACAAGAAACAGAAAGAAATTGCTTTTCAATAAAGTAACAAAATGGAGGGAGAACCTAAGGCAAACTAATTAGGCAATGCTTAAGATTTCCTCGTGCAGCCTGCGTCCAAGACCAAAAGTCAACTTGTGTTGAGTTTGTTTGGTGTGACAGGTTGCACTGTGCACGTTAGTAATTCGTATTTACGAGTTGGGGTCCTATAGCTGCTGCAGATATCAGAGCGGACACGAGCCTGTCAGTGTACTGAGCGGTAAAGACAAGCTGGTGGTTCTTCAGGCTGTAACAGTTTGGAGATCGGAAAATCTTCCACTGCAGATTTGTTGTTGAGTTGAAGTAGGTGGTTAGAAAGCTGATAATGAAACAGTTCCTGAGAGGAAGTGTTTTGTCAGTGTTGGCTCGAGTCTGTGTTTACACCTGTTCTATACCTTAAACCAAATTTAAACCCCAACATCTGATAAGGAAATTGTCTGCTGCTGTTCTGTAAATGCCAAGGCATGACTTTGACTCTGGTCTTTTGCATACTGAATGGTTACTGATGTCAGTCCTGATATATGTCCTAATGTAAATAACAAGGGAGAGAGATGCATGAGAGACATTGTTCTCTGTTTGATTCAGATGTTTGCTGTTTGCTACACATGAGACTTTGAATGCTGTTGAGGCTAAAATGACATTTAGTTTGAAATGATAGAGGCAGTAATGTTGACATGTCCAGCGGGGGAGCATGTTGTCAGTCTGGAAGTCCTAAAGTACTGATCATCAAGTCTTAGAGAAATAAAACATTGATCCTAATAGTGTGAACATAAAATGTCTCTTAACAATACTTTTAAATGGAAAATTAGCTTGTACATTTCAGTGTTCATAAATGTTTTAAGAGTTTAAACATTTTGATAATGATACATTAAAAGCAGTTTCTACTGTTGTTTTAAAGGCAATGTAATTCATTTATTGCTTTTAAAAAGCCTGCACTAATGTTACTTCTGCCAGGGTTATTTTTATATAAATGCACCTAGTTTAAACAGTTTCATTTATTTTCCTCAGATCAGTAATTGCAGCTGTATGGGGAGACTTTTTAAATGTATTTTGCTGTTGTGAGCTATGCAAACCTGTGTTTTCAGATAAATGACAACTCTTCACAAATCTTATTTTTTATCAATTATTAATTACTAGGCATTTGTGTCTTGAAATTAATATTAACATGTTGTAACTTCCCCTTATCCTACATGTACTTTAAAGACATTTCAACAAAATAATAAAAAATTTGGGGGGGAAAAGTGTTCTAGTATCTCTATTGATAGATTAGAATATTTAGTACTTAAAGTTAAGAAGAGCTAGTAGAAGTGAGGAAAGACACAGATGTATACACTGTATTATTGTTATGATTGATTTTATGTAGTGTTTATCAAGACAAATGTGAATCATGGGCATGTGTGATCATAAAATGTTGCTTTTAAAGTAAGGGTCAGTAATGAGTATTAAATAATTTACCTTTTTTTTGCAGAAGAATACTTGACCTTTTCTCTGATGTGGAAAAGTTAATTTCTTCTCATTTTAAGCACTAAAATGTCTTCATTATTGCTTAATAGTTTGCCGTTACCAGTGCAGTTTTTGTAATTTAATGTATGTATAAAAGTGTGAATTACTGCAGACACCAGTGCTTGTAATAACTCTTAATTTCAATAGCAAAGGCTCAGAGATTTTTCTAAAGCCTCATACTTTAAAATTATAGAACATTATAAATTTAATTACAGGAATATCAGCCCTTTCCACAATCAAAATGAAGCAGAAGGAAATATGATATCTTTCTTGGTGTCATCTGTCATTGTGATGCTTTTGCAACGCATTGCCTGGATAAATGTTCTTCTTAAAACTTTGTACCAGTATAGACGAATGGATATTTTTCAAATTGGATAGAATGAATGTAGATCATGTAAACTGCTGACCGAAGAAGTTTACGTTTATTCTTATTTTTATCTATTTTTGTTTTAATAAATGAAATGTTTCTTTTAAAACTTGGTTGGGTTAAAGCAAGAGCTAAACTTCTTTGTTTGGAATATATGGTTAAATAATTCATGCTCAACCTATTCTTATTCCCTTGTATTTATATGTTATTCCAGATATCCGTTAGCAGGGCGTTTTTATACTAGTACTAAAACAAACCTGATTGGGACAGATTTGTGTGGAAGAGATTTTGACTGTAGTGGTACTGCTGACTGTGCATAAAGCCCCAGTGGCAGCCATTAAAAAAATTCACCTCATAGAAACGGTAGGATTGAGTGGTCAGTGATTTGGCATGGGCAGTGTAATGGAGGCCTCCATGTGATCATCTCCTGCTTGAAAATGCATGCCTGAACTACCTGCTGCAGGGTTTAACTGGTTGACCCTGCACAGGGAGATAAGATAATTCCTTCGTGATGATCAGTACAAGTGTATCCGAATTAAAAATACAAAACCAAATGTCAGATTACATTGCTGGAAATAAGCTACACTACCTGTGTTTTTATTAGTTGTAGCCCATTCACTTTTATGAGTACTAATCATTATTATGAATACATCCTTGGGATTAGTAGTAGTATCTGTATAATTACCATACGTAATATCCCTGTATAATTCTCAAATAAATCTTCATGTGACTGTATTTTACTGAAGGTTAAGTTAATTTCTATAGTTATTTCAATGCAACACCATACTATACCAGTACATAATGTTAACAGACAGGCTGTATAAATTGAACTACTGATACAGTATATTAATTTGTATTATCATTATACAGTATATATTTGCAAATATTTAGCTATAAAAGATTTTAGTTTAGATTTTAGTTATAAAAGGGATTTTACAGTAAGCAAGCAGTGCGATGGCATGCTGGTGTTTTCCTGACTTTCCTGAAATGCGTATTGTCTGTCCCAGTGCATCAAACTCATGTGGAAGAAGAGACGATGGTTTAATGCATGCGTGGCAGCGCAAAGGGAGGTGATGGGGTTTGAATGGAAATCGCCTCTTTGACATTGAGAATAAACCATTGAAGACATTTTGTGTCTGTAGCACAACAGCATTCATTTGCTTACTTGGTGATTTCATCAGTAATAGAAATGTGCAGCAGCTACAGAACAGTGCTGAAGAACATAAATCAAGTCTTTCAGCTCTGTGCCTCTACAGACAGGTTTAGTGTGGGCATAACAAGAATGTCACTAAAGCATAAAACAGTGAGTTGAAAATTACTGATTATTTGTACCAGGATGTGTTGCACACTTGGGGCTGCTGTAGAGCTTCCACTGATCACTGACTCTTGCCTTTATTTGTATGTTGGAACATGCACCAGTTCCAATACAAACCTCCTGTGATGTTTAGACTTTTTAAGGAATGAGAGTATAATTGTGATATTAATTTGAAATAGGTATGCAAATATAAATACTCACATAACAGTACTTTCTGAAGGTTATGAATAAATATCAGGAAAAAGAAGAAAGAACCAAAAGAACATTTTGCAAGAATAATAAGATATATATATTTCCGATCACTGCAAACATCATTCCCAGAGGATCCTGACAGCAGTAAAAGTAGTGAGTTTACAGTAACAATTTATAAAGATTTTTATTGATCAAAAGAATCACTTTGTTGTTCCAAACTTTCCTTATGTTCACTCCGGGGTTAAAACCGATCTTCTGGCAAATGGACAGACCACTGTTATGAATAACAATTATTCTTTCATTTCTGAAGTGATTTCTGACAGTGTAGATGCTTTTACACTCTCATTTCACTATTTCACTGCAACCCAGAATATCATGAGATGATAATTCCTCATAAAAAGTTATACTGTTGTACTTTATTTGAAAATATGAAATATAAACACATTATCAATACTCTCCCAGTAAATTCTAAATGCATCATTTCTGTCAGATAATCTGAATGAAATGCTTTTCTTCTCTCCTCTGCTCTCTGCTTTGGAAGCAGACTACATTACTAATAAGTCATTATGTGGGTCATATATTCATAATAGTTTGGAATAATAGTTATTTTATACAAACAAAAAGAGCTGAAAATGCCAAATGTATATGAATAGATGTAATCATTTCCACACTTATTTATATCAAAATACTTTTAATATTTGGATATTATTTCTAGTGTATTCTATTCTATTTAGATGTGTGTTTGTTTAGTTGTGTGTTTGTGTATTCTATTCTATTTAGTTGTGTGTGTATATATATATATATATATATATATATATATATACATATGTTACTTGTTATTAGGAACTCCTCATCTGTCAAATTAATGTGCTCTAAGCTGGCTAGTAAAACCCAGAGTTAACTGAGACACTTTACCCCAGCTTCTTGATAACAATTATACAGGATACAGTGTTGGGCTAAGTGACGGCAGATAACCCAAAGAAAGACTTAAGATTAAGTGGAATTTGCTTTGTGAGACAGGCCTCAGATCAGTATTTCTGTTGATTTATTCAGATTTAGGTTTTAGTGTCTTTTTACTGCCAGTCAACACTGTAACCTTAAACTGAACCATTCAAATAATCTCTCTCTCTGTCTCTCTGTCAGGCCCCTGAGTCCGGGCGGTGTTGAGCACATAAAACTGGATAGAATAACTGCATCAGTACTAGTTGGGCACTGCGCCCCTGTCCATGTAGCTGGTCTGCCTTAGAGTGCCATGGCTACAGGAACCCAGGGCCACGGTGACCACGTCCTGGAGAAAGTCAAGCTTGCACCGCCGACGGGGAGGCGCAGGAAGGCGGAGGGGAAGCCGAAGAAGAATTTCCCCTGCCAGGAGTGTCAGAAAGCTTTCAACAGTCTGGAGAAGCTAAAGGTGCACTCGTACTCTCACACAGGAGAAAGACCCTACTGCTGCTCCCACCCCGACTGCACCAAGGCCTTCGTCTCCAAATACAAGCTGCTACGGTACAGACAAGCAGCAGTACATAGAAGGCTGCAGCACGTTGCTTTTCTCTTTACACCTTTGGTAACATAGTGCTCAGTAGTAGTCAGAATGATGTGTTGATGAATACTAGATTTTGGGTCTTGTGTTTATGTGTGATGTGTGTAAAGCATGCCTACTTAAACATGATTGCAACAATTCTGAGTGCTCATAGAATGTGTCTGTGTTCCAAGGCATATGGCAACTCACTCGCCAGAAAAAAACCACAAGTGTTCATACTGTGAGAAAATGTTCCACCGCAAGGATCACTTAAAGAATCACCTACACACGCACGACCCGTACAAGGAGGCGTTCACCTGTCAGGAGTGCGGCAAGAGCTACAACACCAAGCTGGGCTTCAAACGCCACCTCGCCCTCCACGCCGCCAACAGCGGAGACCTCACATGCCAAGTGTGCCTGCAGCCGTTCCCCAGCACCGGGGTTCTTCTGGAACACCTCAAAACACACGCTGGCAAGTCGTCTGGCGGGACCAAAGAGAAGAAACATCGCTGTGAGCATTGTGAGCGGCGATTTTACACCCGTAAAGACGTGCGACGCCACATGGTGGTGCACACTGGACGCAAGGACTTCCTTTGTCAGTACTGCGCCCAGCGCTTTGGTAGGAAGGACCACCTGACACGTCACGTGAAAAAGAGCCACACCCGGGAGCTGCTCAGGGTAAAAACTGAGCCAGCAGATTCGCTGGAGCCCGTTGTCTATGACTTGGCGTCTGGGGGCATCAAAGGCGAACTCCCAGGAATGCTGGCGCAGAGGCCGCACCAGCTCAACATGTACACAGGCCCCGTCCTGGACACAGAGCCCTTCCCCACCCCCACACACACTTTTTCTTTAAAATACCCGCTGGGCTCCAACTTTACCTCATACACCTTCTCCTCCCAGGAGCGGGAGCAGAATCTAAAGGGAGAACTGGAGACCTATCTGATGGAGCTACAGAGCAGCATGCCCTCCTCATCCTCTGCAGCCCAAGAACCCCAACTCTCCTCCTCCAAACTTGTGCTGGAGACTCAAGTTGGCATGCTGGAGGAAGCGAGCCAGGAGGTGTCCCTGTCCAAAATGTCCGCACCGATGGCAGCAGCCACCACAGGTGACACTCTGGCGTCATCCTCCTCTCTGATGGACTTCTCACAACTTTTCAACTTCCTGCCACTCAACGGGCCTCCATACAACCAGGCAGGGGGGAGCGGGGGACAGGGAGTTGTCTATCCACCCAACGAAGAGCCCACACCTCTCGTTCAGCTGCCAACCCAACCCCCCGAAGGCCCAGAGGCTACAGAGAGTCCACTTCAAGGACTCCCCTCCTCCTTCATATCCAACCTGAGCACACCCACCACACTGCCCCGTTTCCACCAAGCTTTTCAATGATCCAGTATGTACTGCACATGGCACACAAGCACTCTAACACACACATACACACACACACACACACTGACACACACGACGAGCTACACAACCACACTAGCGGACACCGAAAACAAGATGCCAGTAACACATGTCTGAAGGTATTTGCACGTATGTCCATTTAATATGACACGATGAGCAGACACATGATGAGCAGCACTGACAGCAGCATACACACCAAGGTTAGGTTCTATCAGCTTTCTAATTGCTATGTTATTGTGACTTTTCACCTTATCAAGCTTTTTATTGACAAGTTGGCAAATCTTCACCACCACTATTCTCCAGTGACATGTTCACATAGTAGCGGGAAATGCAGATACTTTCCAAATTCTCCATTTCTCACTGCGTATTTGGAAGTTTTATAACTTCTCATGATCTAATCTCACTTCTAGGACAAAGTACTTTTCAAAGACCTGCAGGTTACCATATACTTATACATCTTTAATCGCACCACAAGCAGTAGAATTCACCGTGGGCTGTGATGAGAAAGGTCAGCGCAACTCGTGCTCACAGCACCGTTCTGTGCACTGCACCACTAACATCAGTGCCACATACACATTTATAGAGCACAAACTGTTTTTATGCATTGATGCAGACACGGTTGAACCGTGACAGTGAGAGCCGTGTCATTTTAAACATGAGTTAGCCTTTTGGGAGTTGGAGAAGGTTCACATGGATTAATGTTAATAGTATTTTGATTGCAGTGATGTTTACTTTTCTTTACCTAACCCCACATGCTAGATGGACCTTAGGATGCAGATTTTGCGTTGTATATTGTTTTTCGTGCAGCACTTTGAACTTTGTGATGTCGTCTGTCGTCACAGTTGACTGTTGTTTTATGTCTGTTTTATTTGTGGTAGGGACCAATCTGTAGTTTTGGGATGTTTTCGCCCATTTACCTATATTTAATACATCATCTGTCCCAAATGACTGCTGACCATTTTCCAAAACACACCAGGAGTTCCATGCAGCTGTTGGGTTTCATTAATTCTAATCTGTATGGAAATCAACTTACTTACATCAGGTACTCCATTACAGTGACCATGTCTGCTTGTGTTTTTGTCAATAACATTATTGTATTATACGCTCTTACAATTATAGTACCATGCAATACAGTGATGCCACATTGTCAGCAGTAAAAGCAGACGTAATGTTCACTGTGCTGGATTACTCTGTTTCAAGTCTCTGCAAGTGTAATGTTCAGTAAGTTAGTGAAATTACAGAAAATCAATGGCTTGCTGGAATGCGGGAAAACTGTTGAAACATCTCAAATATGCTATAAAGGATTTTTATTTTATTTTAAAGTTAACATGTATGTGATTAGTAGTAAATAGGCTAAAACGTGCAAAAACATTGGTCTGGTCCTTTTGACCCATAAAGCAGAAGTTCGTTCCCATTGTTATAGAGTGTTACAGTACAGTATTACAGTTTTACATTTCATTTTGGTAGTTGGAAAATTAAGATAAAACTTTCTTAGTTATCCCCCAAACCAAAGTCAAGCAAACACAGACAGAGCAGGCTTCTATCTGTTACTACAAAGCAAGCACTCCAAGGATGAAGGAAGTTATCACTGCAAAAAATCCTAACCACACACTTGGTATCTTCTTCATTTATTTCCTGTATGTAGTCAAGCAGTTGTACATTCAATAGGACTTTGACTTCTAAGAAAATGACCTTGTTTGTGACTAGTTGACAGAAACTAAACCTTTTAGTTGTGGATCAGATGTGAAAGATGCAGAAAGGTCTTTTTCATCTGCAAGTCAATACCTTTTTAGTGTTTGTATGTGGTACCTTGCACTAAAAAGTTTTTTTTCAAGAAAATGTACAATGTGCACTACCAATATGCATAATAACAGTAAAATTAGCAATTTCCAGGTTAATTGCAAATTAATATATTCCAACTACTAATATAAAATATGCCAATTTATACATTGTAGAACAATCTGAAACATTTAACATTATGTGAAATCAAATTTAGCTGCAATTTTGGTAATTTAGCCAAAAAAATATTAAGAGGACATATTTTATGAGTAACTGTGCCACACCTTGGTAGGCATTCCATTTTTAAAGCCTGACTCTAAATGTCTTCCTCAAACATAAATCATTTTTCAACTTGTATATAGGCTTGTGAGGTGTGACTTGGAAGGAAAATGCGCTTTATGTTTCCATTAAAACTCAACGTGCAGGTCTCCTGGACCACGTTCAGAAATAATGCAAATATATTTGTAAGCTCCACTAAGTTCCAAAATACCTTATAGTTCAGAATCGGTTCAGCAGTTTGATGATGAAAATAAATGTCCACAGCCACATGTTCTGGCTTCCTCTGGCATGGCTCCACTTCACTTTATGTTTAGATTAAGTGGAAGTCGCCCCTTAAAACACAAAACACATGTTATTCCAGTAGGTTTTGACTGCTCTGCCTAAATCTGTGAAAATTAACTCTCTGAAAGCGAAAAACATGATATAGCTGGGATACTAGTCTGTCTACACTTACACAGTAACTGAAATAGTGATCGAAATACTGACTGAATACAAATTAAATAGTTGGTGAATCAAATGTGAATAGAGATTCAGTGTAATTGCTCTTTAATGGTAACAGCAATGAGAAGTTCTTATGCTGCTGGAAAATGTTTACATATTCCAACAACACTGCAGTAATACAACATCATATCATGAGCTTGGTCCATCTTAGTTCAATCAATCAAATATGGACTATGCACATATTCATTAGATTCCAATGGTACTTATTACTTACATATGAAGTGTTGATATGCAAGCTAACAACACTCATTTCAGGGATATGAATGTGTTCATCCCATACAGCTTTAGATAGTAAAACATTTTAGTGAAATCCTTCTAATTATACAATCAAAGAGTTTGCTTTGTATGGAGCGCTGCAGAATTTGCCTTCATGTCTCCGTATTCAGCTCTCAGTACTGTGGTTTCTAGCTTTTGGGGAAAGTTGATTGCCTTCTTCATCTTTGATTGAATTTTTTAAGATGGTAGACATGGGTCAGCGAAGAAATCTTAGCAGGAACAGTCAACAGGAACATTTCCCCCTCCTTTAACTGCTAAAGCTAATTGCCGACAGACGGTAGAAGACTATAGTGGTGCTTGGGTATCTCCCAGATGTAAATGTGTAAAACTGTATGAATGTGAAGCAGGGCAGGGCTGGAAATGAGCTGAGATTCACAGCTAAACTCCCCTGGGTTAAAGAAAAATGTAATTGATTCGGCTAAAACATGCTAGATTCAGATCATTATCCATGGTGGGTTCAAATTAAGGGCAACTGGACCAGGTTTAAGATACTTGAAGACATTTCACCTCTCATCCGAGAGGCTTTTTCAGTTCGGACTAACTGACTGAATCCCAGCTATTTAACCTCTGTGGGGTTGTTATCAAGGTGGTGGAGAACGCTTGGTTCGTTAGTGCTCCTAGCTGCCAGTCATTATGGTCACTTCAAATGCAGTTAAATGTGTTTCCTTGGGAATAGTAAAGCATTGACCAGGGGCAATGACATAAACATGTTGTCCCTGATGACCCTATAGTAGTAATATATCAACCCATGCAGATCGTTTGGGTTTACTTTGCAGAGCTTTTAAGAAACAGTATCCGCCTCTGAGACTTCTGCCTTCACTTCAGTACAATGGAGGTGAGAGGGACACACAGCAAAAACTTTTTGCCCAGTATCCGTTAGGAAATGATATGGGAATTGTGTCCGTATTGGAGGACTCCACACCTCACATTTTACACCCAGGGTCAATGCAGGAAGCAGTGTGCCCTGGATGTTGAGAGGCAGGAAGTAAGAGTGGGGAGGTGGAGTTAGTAGATGAGCATGCAGCACGTCTGACTTTTGCGCAGGATACAGGAGGTTTTGTGCAATCACAGACCTGTTACTGCATTCGCCTTTTAATTAACATGGCCACGATCTTTCCCTAACCTTACCCATACCTAAGTTGCCATGCACAGAGATAGAAAGCAAGAATGTTAGCAATAGATGTAAAAACAAAAGAGGTAATTGAATGTATAATGTGTATCCAAGGGGGGTTAAAATTAAGGGCAACTGAACATGGGCAAGGTTGCTTGGAGACGTTCACCTCTCGCTAAAAGTCCAGTTGCCTTCGATTTTAGCCACCTTGGATGGCTATGACCTGGATGACTTAATCTCCATAGACCGTATGTATAATAAGGGGTTTTGCAGAATTGAACAATATCAGTTGTCTTGTCTGATGAAAAATGACATGCGAAATTTTATTGGATAATCCACAAACATCATAGCCGTCAGTGCAAACTGCTGACATTGTGTTCTGTGGACTCTCCTCTATAACTGGGAACGTTTTGTTTGCTTTAAACTCCACAAACCAAATTCTATTTACCTCCATTGTGCTGGTGTGGTGGTAGAAGTCTCAAAATCTGAACAAATTAAACCGAAACGGTCTGCATGGATCGATCCAAAAACAAAACAAAGTTGGTATACAATCTTTTTTTCAAGGACATGATGTTTTGGTGTGAACACATCTGTGCTTCTTATCAGTTCAATTCTAGAGGTGGTGTGTTATATTGGCTATTTGCTGGATTCAGTCAGGGCTTCCACTGCCCAAAAAACACCAAGATGGGTGCTTCTCTGCATTGTCCGAGGCTTTTGTTCATTTACAGATTAAGAGTTATAGTCGAAGCTGTATGTAGCAACGCTCTACCCTACTGCTAATGAAACTGTGGGTTGGAGAATCAGCGAGCACTAGTTGCATTTCATCTCAGTCAGTGCAGATACCTCAGTGTCTCAATCAGTCCACACAGACACAAATGCTCTTTCCCCCCTGTATTCTTTTAACATGAAGTCATGCACAGTAGCTTCACTGTGGTCATCAGAAAAGACAGTCATATTCAAATAATACATTGTAAGTAGAAGCTGTGCCTTTTTGTCATGTCATTGTAATGCTTTAACATAACACTGTTGGCTGTCATTTAAAATTAACGTGGAAAATAGGCCTTTCCTAACAAAAATGGCACCAATAACGGCTGTGTTGGCCGTTAGGACCTGTCACATAGGGCTGGGCGATATGGGCAAAAATGTTATCACAATAAAAGTTTCATATCTTTCGATATCGATAACGATCACGATAAGTATCAAATCGTTATTTCTTTTGAGTTAAAGTGGCTGATTTCTGCTCCTGAGATTTAATTGTGGTTTAAACTCTTCTTTGTGGTCAACACTTGATGCCAAACAGTGGATCACTTCACAAATCTGAGGTAGAACATTCAAAACAATTATGATTATAATTACAATTATGAATTTTTGTCAACAAAGTAAACAAGTAAAAGCTTTTTTCGGTCCTTTTTCCTCAACAAAATAAACATCAAAATAAAAGAATTAAGTCATAATTCTTGTATGACTCAAGTGAAAAAAAGCTAATATTTATTATATAAAATGTTTATTGAACATTGTTATATTGTTATTGAAATAAATTATATCGTGATAATTATTGTTATTGTTTTAATTGTCCAGCCCTAATGTCACATATATATTTTTAGACATTGTTTCCCACAGATTGACCACTTGTTACAGCAACATCTACTAACATCAGCACTCACTTCTAACCGAAACTATTTCAATGATTCCAAAAATCCCAAAGATATATGTAGGAATGATGCAAAAGACATCCAGAAATTTTTCTTTTCACCCTGGGCAACATTTTCCTATTCTGGCCTGGCAGTCAACATCTGCATGATCACAATAGATGCAACCTGCTGCTGTAAAGTAGTAAGTCACAGTAACCCCCGACCCCCCCCCCTCAGCTATCGCTAGCTAGCGACTTTTAACTGTAGTCTAGTTTCTTATCCAATTAACATTGTACTAGCAATCACTAGCCAGCAAAGTAGGGCTGGGTATCGACTGAAATGTGTGTATAGCACTGAATACCAAAATCTTTACTGAAAGCCAGCATCAAATGTCTGGTCAGATTCATAATCCTGTTGACTTGTTCTATGACCCAAAAGTTCCAGACTTAAACAAATAAAAACAATGCACTCCTAAAGGTGCTGGCTCGCAGGCATACATCAAAAAAAGGGAAAGCACACTCATAACTCACATTCAGCAAACTACCTTCTTCATCCAGTTTTAGACTGTAAATTCCTATAAAGTTCTTGTCTGACTGTTTATGTGTGGACAATATTTGACATTTAAATTTCATCGTGTGACCAAGGTTCCATACTTGTCACACAATGACAAGTGAATAAACTCCATATCAACTCTGAGCAAACTCAAATTGCAGATGAAGGCTGTAAGATGCTGTTTAAAGGGCCGCACAGATTTTGTAAGTGGAACTTTTGAGTTATGATTATTTTATCAAACTACTGTTACCAAGGTCTGAACTTTCATTCTCAACATTGGAGTACTGTTGTTTTTGTTTTTATTGTAAAATGAAAAAAGGTTTGTAGAAATATATATCGTTTTGTCATCAGTATCAACACTCTGGTATCATATTGACACACATTGAAAGATATGAATCAATAATCAGCCTCTACAGCAATGTAACTGAAGGATGAAAAGTCACAAAGGTTTTTCTGCCATCACATATATTATTTCTTTAAAACAAGGATTACATGTATAGAACAGTCACAATTTTGGACATTTACATATACTTTAAGGAGACATCGGACTGCACATTATATGGCAAAATGTGAACTTTACAGCCTGCAAAAATGTTGCTAAACTTCACATTTCCCCTCCCACCACAGCAGTTAACAGATGGTGCATCTTAGTTCCATTAAATGTTTGATGCCTATATAACCCAATAGTGTTATCATTTACCTCACATACTCATCTTGTTTTTGTGCTCCAAGCTTCAAAAATGATGATGAACTAGAAGTGTTACGTTCTCCTTTTTCCTTCCTGAATGACGGGACTGGACAAGACATGAATGGAGACAATACTTTTCTGGGTTGTGTGAAATGTAGAGTTGAACGTGTAATGTTTCAAAGCATTTATGGAAGTTTGCTATTTGTATCTTGTGAAGGTTTGTGGATTTGCAAGAGATGTTAACAAGCCGCTATTTTTTTTGTTGTTGTAATCATAGCACTTTTTTGTAAATTGAATGCCTTTATTTCCTCCAATACCTATTTTTAAAACCTTTATTACAAATGTATATATGATATATTTAGCTCTTTTAGAGAACAGTAACATGTAAATACAATATAAAATGTTTTATTTTTACAGGTACAATTTTGACAGTGTTTTCCTATCAAAGTGTCATTTTTGCTTTACTTGCACAAGTGTTCTGTGTATCTCATTGAGGGGTCTTTTAACAAATAATGTACCTTAAATAGATTTTTGTAGGCCTACTTTTTTGAAAGCTCTTCTTCGACTATTCAACCGCTGGTTTAAGTGAGTGCACAGGCAGTAATGAAGCTTAAATGGATGGTTATATAGCACTTAAATTTATCATCTTGCCATGGGTTCTTTAATTAGTTAGGCAAAAAGACAAATAAGATAAACGTTCAATAACTCCCAAGGTGATTTTGTCCTCTTTTATCATCCTTTGACCTCAGTGTGAGATTCTGAAAAAAAGAGATTACTTGATTTCTTAGTGGGTTCCGTCTGAAACCTGTTGCATGAACAAAAATATTCCAATCAGCTAACTGCAGTTTCATCTTGATTTATAAGTCATATGGACTGTGTGACAGAATCTAGGGATTTGATGTGTGGGAAATAAAAGCAACACACTGTGGATCAAAATTCAAAGACAAAAAGCTCCACACATTGCTATCCGATCAAGTTCATAATTCTAAAACTAATCTAAAGTGTCCTGGGAAAAAAGAAACAGGAAAAACAGAATGTCCCCCATGGTCGTGTGGTGACCAGGACATAGGAGGTACTCTTCAGTGAGAGGCACAGACCTTTAGCAATTCATGACAAACTCTTTATAAGCTTCGGTGGTACCAGTGAACTTTATTGAATGTGTATGTAAGAAACACTGCAATATATTTTGGTATTGGATCAAGCTGCTAACATACTTCAAGAGCTCCTTAAGGTGCTACAGACCTCTTTTCTAGTTCTGAAATGTACCGTTTGTACAAAGTATCCAGTTCAGCTGAATAGTTGGTATGTGTGTGCCTGGTTGTACTATATAGCTACATATATTTTTGTTGTACTGTGACTTTTGTAGTCTTTTTACAGACTTGCCTGTAAATCATGCCCCCCCCCCCCACACACACACACACACACACACACAGACACACACCTGTGTGTTGTGGAAACTGAGTCATTGAGGGAGATTGCTCTGAGTGAAGTCACTCAGGAGAGATGCTGAGCTCACGCTGAGAAATGTGACTCAACCTGATGTCGTTCAAAATGAGTTGAGGAAGTTCAGAGACAAACTGCATTCCAGCGATGTTGGTTGTGTTATTTGTTGAATTTCAACAGTGCCATCCTGTGACAGCGATGGACTAATTTCTAACTCAATATCTTACTTCAAATCTATTTTACAAACTACTGTTGTATTTTTATACATTTAGGCCTCACAAGGCCTAATGAGTAATTCACATAAACATATATAAATAATTATATGTGTTTTATAAGTTGTGTAAAATAAAAAGTAATGCTGCAGCTTTTATCCTTTGTTTTTTTAAACATTGACATCATCCAAAGAGGCAGATTATTTATTTTCTGGCAGAAAAACCTGATTTAATTTACCATACCTTGCTGCTATGAGAGAGAAGAGCTGCAGTCTTCAACTCCAGTGTTTTTACACAATGTAATGAAAGTTCAATAAACATAAGAGAAGGATGCAACTGTGTATGTTTGGTCTTTCTAAAGAAATATCAGTCATGATTTTGTCAGACTCTGTGCTTCTGTGTGTGCATTTACTGGGGACTCTTTTCAGTGGTGGATTAATCCTTTCTGTTCTAGTGAATATTTCTGGCAGCAGGATGGTGTATATGGGAGTCTTAAATTTACCATCCTACAAGAGAGAATAGTTTCATCTTTGGCACATACTGTATACATTTATGCTGTATTTATGGTGCTGGGTGTTCGGAATGATGCAGCGCAAATGTGTTGTAGTTAAAATAGGATGTGAGTTTGTAATTATCTTCTGCTGTTGGTCTTATGAGTCGATGTCATCAGTTTTTTTAATCTTCTGATAATGCAAAACAAATCCATGGAAATGGCAAGACAATTTCCATCCACTCTCTAGACCACAGTTAGGCTGGAGAATATCCAGTATGACTGGTCACTAGTCTGACTGGTAATATGTACAATGCTGCAGTCAGCTGTCTCAAATGTTAAGTGAACCAAGCTATAATTTACTCTGTAGGCTAACTAATTTTCTTTCCTGCTCTCATTGTTGCATGCTTCTCTCACTTTTTTATGACATCTGTTTACGTGACACTAAATGTTTTTGAAAGTTCTGGAAAAGTCTGAATTTATAGACTACTACAGCTGGCCACAAGTGCAGGTTTTCATCACTTAGTCCTGCAGAGGATCTCAAAAGCCTATTTTGAAGTTCTAAGGATTAGGCAAGGAGTTCCACTTTATCAGTCACAAGGGATCAGAACAAAGGAGTGATACAGTTTACCATGAACAGGCTGACAGATGATGCAGCACATTGTGTGCTGTCCTATGTTATCATCACTACACTTTAGTTGTTGGAATGTGATCTCTGTCATCTGTTCCTGTATGCTGGAAGAGTCTCAGTAAAAAGACTAAAAAGGACAAACATGAGCTTTGAGCTGTTTCTCAGTGGAGCTGCCTCATGCTGAATCTAAGTCAAATTTGTCAGTGTGAACTTCTAAAACTGTACACTACACTAAACTGTTCAGCTGTCTAGCTACTGCTGAGGTAGTGCATTAATATTACTGTGCTTTACTACCACCTATGTAAGAAGTGGCTAACTTGCCCCATCCTCCCCTACTGTGGACACAGTAAACTGAGTTAAACCATCGGGATGAACCCGTTGAACCCAAACAGAAGGCATTACATACTCCACAACACTGGGTGGCGGTGTGGTTGCCTGTGTGGATGTGTTCGTTGAAAAGTTTGGAGACTGTTGATCTGCTGTTCAGTCAGCAGCAGGCCACAAGCTGCACAGAGAGTCTTTATTACGCACGATGCCTTCTCCGATCCCCGTGACCCGCCTGCTGCCCCAAAATATCTATCCCTCTCTGGACTTCGGGACCTGCAGCAGTCCGCTAACCAAACCCTCCCACGGCTCCAGCTTACAAGTCCCCGTCCAGCGGCTCCACGGCAGAGTCGCTAGCCGGCTCTGGTCCTCTGTGATCCACTTTAAGGAGCTGCGCTCCGTCCTGCCCGTGGGCTCCGGAGGATTCGGCTCAGTCTACAAGGCGGACTACCTCGGGGAGACCGTCGCGCTGAAGAAAGTCAAGAAGTGCACCAAGAACAAGCTGGCATCCCGGCAGAGCTTCTGGGCCGAGCTGAACGCGGCACACCTGCGCCACAGAAACATCGTGCGCGTCATCGCAGCGACCACCTGCGTGCCAGCGGACTTCGGAGATGAAAGCAGCATCGGAATTATACTGATGGAGTTTGTGGGGAGCAGGAATCTGCAGCAGATCATTTACGGATGTCCTGAGACGCTGGAGAACAGGTGGCTCAGGTACTCAACAGACATTGCACATGGCTTACAGTTCCTTCACTCCCACACCGTTGTGCATCTAGACATAAAACCAGCCAACGTGTTGGTGTCGAGTGAAGATGTCTGCAAAATTGCCGATTTTGGCTGTTCTTTGAAACTGGACCGTGGTTGTGAAGTGAGCGCCATCGGCCCCCATCTGAGCCACGTAGGCGGTACTTACACGCACAGAGCCCCGGAGCTGCTGAAAGGCGAGGGGGTGTCTCCTAAAGCAGACATCTTCTCTTTCGGGATCACCTTGTGGCAGCTGATCACCAGAGAGCAGCCCTACACCGGCGACAGGCAGCACGTGCTTTACGCGGTTGTGGCGCACAACCTGCGGCCGTCTGTTCAGAACCAAGCAGTGTTTCAGTCAGAGCAGGGGCGGCTGTGTAGGACTCTGTTGAGCCGGTGCTGGAGCGGTGAGAGCAGCTGCAGACCGAGTGCTCAGGAGCTGCTGCCTCAGCTGGAGCAGCTGCGCTCCCAGATATGAGTTTATTTTAGAGCTGGTGCACAGAGAGGCCCACTGACGACTGTGGGTTTCAGAAAATGGACAATATAGGAGCATTGTAGCAGGTCCTCTCCTGCAGGGTCAGCTTTGAAGCAATGGGCTACTCACTTGTTTTCTGGGCAGTGTGGAGAAAGCCTCTTCAAAATACCCTGGAACTGATTTAGCACAATGTCACTACTCTTCTACAAGTAACATTTCAAATTTATTAAAATTTTATTCCAATTTGTAGTTGTTTTTGTTTTTTTAAGTATTACTTGCATGAAACCAAGTGAGACTCATCAGTCTACCAACATGCTGGTGTATTTGCACTTTTTTGCAATGCTAATTTGTTATTATTGACTTGAAATAAGGCTCATTATTCCTGTAGAAATCAAACTTTGGCTCGAAGAATTTTAAACCAAGTTGGTTTTGTGTTATTTCAGCCTATTGGCAGAAGTCCTGTATTTGTTGAGAGAAAATTTTTAAAATCTGTTTGTGTAGTCCTGTACTGTTAAGATGTCATTCATGTCTCATTTGCCAACACAAAACACACTTTAAGTTACTGTTCTATCTTGTTATATATATTTTCTTAAACTAAGAAATGTGTGTTGTGAATTGAGTGTTATATGCCATCTTGAGATTGTGATTGGAGATTTAAGTGTGATGGGTTTTCATTAAAATTATTTTTATACTGTATGTATTTTGCCTTCTTGGTTTTTCCTCACATCATCTTGACATGTCACTAGGCTTCAGAAACATCGTTCATCTTTCATGCAGTTTGTGTTGACATTATGTGTTTACTGCTTCCAGCTTTCATTGACAGAAGAGGCCACTGCTGCATAAAAAATGAAAGTAGATGCATGTTTTGACAGCAGGTAATAGGTTACCTGCATATGAGAGTAATGTGCTGTACATTTGTGTTGTGTTTTGTACACAGGTATGGAATGGTCTAACTACACAAATGTGAAAGTGCATTTAAGCGCTGTGTGGAGAAGACAGGTCGGCTCTGACCAGTAATGTTAAAAAATAAACCAGACATTTAATTTATTTTTGTACATATTGTTTGTGAAGCCACAAGTGGCATAATCATATTGTACATTGTGCTCAAAGTATTCAGACCCCTTCACATTTTGTTTGTTGCCTTATGCTAAAATAGCTGAAATTCATTTTGTTTAGCACCCAGAGAACCTGATCTGGAGAGGGCAGAGGAGAGTACCAGCAGCTTGGGAGAAGTCCCAGTACGCCAAAGAGTGAAATGTCGAGGTGCCAGTAATGTGTACTGGTGCAATCCGGCTCACTTCAAGCACTGAATAGAAATAATAGTTGAAGTTGGTGAGTAGGGGAGAGCGGGGAACAACCTAACACATTTTGGTTTGGACTAAATAATAAAAATATATTTGAGTTTGATTAATCATATTTTTATTCAAGCAACACACACGTCTGCTACGGATGAACACCTTGAAGTTTGTTTGTAGGACCTACCGTACTTGCACAATTGTGCTGAATGTCAAGGGAGTGAAATAATAAGGGGTTAGTTGTAACACTTGCTCAAAAAGTCTGTTCATTCAATACAATTCTATCTGATTTAAATAAATTATATCTTTATACTATAGGTGAACTGTTTATGGATATATACATGAAAGATTTCCACACATCCATGTAACCCTCAACCAACCATCCATCATGAGTCAGTAAATAGATGGACAGATATTTGTGGAGATTATCTCTTTCCATCCATGTAAATATATATCATATGAGGAAATTCAAATGTCTTTTCATCTAAATCACAGTCTATCATGGATTTAAATTCAAATGAATGGACCCAATGAATAGATGGATTATACCAGAATATATATATTCTATATTCTATATATATTGACGGGGTTAGTTGTAACACCGGCTTACAGGCGGTGTCTGGTTGCTGAATGCTTTCTGTGGCCCTTTGTATGTGAGGGTATGTGTATGACCTTTTAAATGTTTTTCTCTTGTATGAACCTTGTGGTTTTATAATTATGCTTGGTATTATGTACAGCACTTTGCAACATGTGTTTAAAAAAGGTGCTTTATAAATAAAGTTTTACTTACTTCTAACAGAACAATGACAATTAGCACACATGTTACGGTGTGTGGGTGACAGTTCTGTAGGCCTATATGTGGGGCAGTTTTCTTTCCTGTTGATTTGGGTCTTCCGTTTGGCGTGCCATCATGGGGTTCAGCCACCAATCATCAGCCTTTCTGGCTCATCTAGCGAGCTGATAAAAGTTGACTTGTGGAAATGCCAGAGGCAGCTGTGATATAACCTGAGCAGTCTGTGCCTCTTTGTCATTGTTAACGTGTCTGATAGTTGGCTATAAAGTTAGGTTGTTTAGTATGGAAATTGATGTTAACTCGTTTGAGGCATTAGTTAATTTGGGAGCTGTGCAATAGGTTTACATTAGTTTGTTTCTTTTCACACATCTCTTATTTCCACACCTGGGTCTCAGTATTAATGACTGTCTATACAAACACGAGTTTTTATGGGTGGCTGCTACAATGTGTGTTTCATTTTTGACAGGTAAAATTAGTACAGCCAGTTAGGGTTTTGATTCTGTTTCTTTCAGGTGTCGCTGCTGTAGTGAGTTGCTAGGGACCTGTCTGGCTGGACAGGTGGGTTCTTCTGTTTGTTTGATTGTTGATTTGGTGCCACCCGCAGCCTTTTCCTTTGTTCTGTGCTTGATGTTGATTATCTGGTACCTGAGAAAAGCTTGTGACTGTTTCTTATTTGTGTCACTTAACAATAAATGGCTGAACTTGCCTGACTACATTGGTAAAATGTTGCTACCTTTACTCCTAGACCTTTACTGGTTCTAACAACACAGCTAAGACAACAGAGGGGTGGCGCATAGATAAGATGCTAGTTGCTCCAGAGGTTGCCTAGTTGCTCCAGAGGTGTGCGACCTCTGACATGTATAGCAATTGTAAGTCGCTTTGGATAAAAAGTAACACAGGAGCGACTCTTTGAATGTCCTTGAGTGGCTCAGCCTTGAACCCAATCAATCATCTCTGGAGAGACTTGAAAATTACTGTCCACTGATGCTCCCCATCCAACCTAACAGATTTTGAGAAGATCTGCAGAGAATACTGGTCCAGGTCCAGGTTTGCAACACTTCCTTTGACAGCCAGGACTTATTTCAGTCTTTTCTTTAATAATTAACGTGATTATTAATAGCAGCCAATGGGAAGTAAATTATTACGTTAATCGACCACCACAAGTTTGGCAAGTAAATAAATGCTCATTCATCTTTTCATAACGAACGACAGTCTGAGTTAACCTCCCATAGGTTGTAGCTAAAGCAAGAAGCAAGTTAACGTTAGATGGCCAATGCTGAGCTAAACATGTTTACTAACCTCAGGTTACTAACCTATTTTGTGTTCAGCGCTTCTTTGTTTGGGTCTTGTTGTATGAAGTTCTAAAGCCAAAGTTTATGATGAATGGCATTGCAGCTGCCACTGTTGTCCTCTCTCACGTGTGGCCGCGCGCAGCTGATACTACGTGTTACGTCTTTCGAGGACGAGTCTCAAGTGGAGTCTCAAGTCACTGTGTGTGTTTGGAGGATTTGGAGGAGGTTCATTAAGGAACATTTTTTCTCACATTTTGCCTTTATTCCTCTAAATGATTTCCTGAAATTTCCTCCATTCTAATGTCTATGAAGATTCTCAGTCATCCAGGTCATAGTTATTCAACGAAGGTTAAAGTCAAGGGCAACTGGTCGTAGTTGAAGATACTGGAAGACGTTTCGTCCCTCATCCAAAGGACTTCTTCAGTTCTGACTGACTGGTAGGGAAACTCAACTATTTTCTAATCTTCTCCATTCTAATCTTCATCACTTCCACTTTACGATGCCCTTTTTACAATTCTGTCACCATATTTGGCTAATAATCTTTCCGACCACATTCCTCAATCAAATCAGTCCCTGAATTCTGTTCAAACAACCCCCTCCTCTCTATTACCTCCATGTGGGTATTTCAAAACGTGCATTGTGATTGAGAGGATATGAGTTAATAATGTAAGGACTAGTCATTCTGTTCCACACTCCATAACAGTTGTTATACAATGCACCAATTGGCTGTTTGCCAACCGCCACTAAATTCATAAAGAAGAATAGTCCCAACTCCCAGCTTGCCTCCCACGCACTGGGACTGAACAGAAAAAAACACATTTCACAAAAGGAGTAGTAGCACAGCTTTTGCTTCTACATGTAAGTATTTTGCCTAATATTTGTACCACAATTCCTGTGGCTACAGTGGATTACTGACAATGGGGCGGCTGTGGGGCAGCTCAGGAGGTAAAGCGGGTTGCCCGTTAATCGGAAGGTTGGAGGTTCAATCGCCGGCTCCTCCCGGCTGCATGTCGAAGTATCCTTGGGCAAGATACTGAACCCCGAATTGCCCCTGGTGGCTGTTCCATGTGTGTCAATGTTAGTTTCTGTTTGAGCTCAGTGTATGAATGCGTGTGAATGTGATGGAGTGTAAAAGCGCTTTGAGTGGTCAAAAGACTAGAAAGGCGCTATACAAATATGGAACATTTATAATGTCATAAAGATAACCTTACCTCATACCCTTCTACTTCAGGTGTACCCCCACTTAACAATGCCACTGCTAAACAGGACAACCATAGAACATTACTGCAAGGTCATATTATACTGAAATGAGCATGTACATGTGTTTTATCGCCAGGTGTTTACAATGCAGTGAGCCAGGTTCAGGTGTGATGAAGAAGTTTCAGACACTGATGAAGACTTACATAGCATGGTTTATTGGGCCCGGCCGAGGAGATACAGTGCCAGCATACAACGTGTGAACACATGGAATGCTAACAGCAAATCTGAAGAATACTTCCTGTCTGGGGATATTTATCCTTCCTAGACCTACAGAGATTCACTAGGTGTCAAAATCAGGTTATTGTTAAACCCTCGGCCTCTATACATGTGTGTGGAGTCTATTGGTTATTGGTTCAAATCAAGAAATGGGTCGTTTAAGCCACATGCAACACTCAGTCTGTCTGTAAAGAAACAAAACAGATCATCTGGACCTTACCAGACAATTGTACAACAGTGCATCATTATCAAGACAGCTCATCAGTCAGTCGACAAGCAGGCAGAGAGGAGAGACAGAGTCTGACCTGCTGATTTGGAGAGTCCCTGGCTGTCAACTTTGGCTTACTTTAGCTCAGCAATTGACCCTGCCATGACCTGGGGACACCTGTGTCATACTGATCCTATATTCCTTCACAGAAATGGTACACATACATCATATAGGCTCACAAACTGATAATACGTTTTATTAAACACAGGAGCACTTTCAGTGCAAGACTCATCCCCCCAAAATGAGCCAAAGAGAGCCACAGGAAGTCATTCCTGCCTGTGGCCATCAAACTCTATAACTCCTCGCTCTAAGTGGCTGACACATGGGCCCTTAGTTAGTTATTATACTGGACATTATTACCTGTTTTGTGCAATATAATCTGTTTAATAATTAATGTACAATTCTCTGCTGCTATTCTTCAGCTATTGATTCAGTATTACTGTTCACCATAATAATTCTTTAATACCATAATGATTCATTAATAATGTAAATACTGTAAATACCCACACTACTTTATATTTTTTCTTTATATTTATACTCTCATATTTATATGAGATCTACCTACTTTCTATTATTATATTTCTATTCCTGATGCCTTGATAAGTGTGCAACTGTGACAAAGTATTTCCCCCGGGGAAGAAAGTATTTCTGATTTCTGTAATCCAGTTTTTATAGCTTTATTAACTGCTGTGGGTTGTGTGGATGTGCTGTCAGCTATGCTGCCTGCATTCTGCATTCATTAAATGTCTATCACAGATAACACTGTTAAAGTAGCTTCAGTTAAATTCTTAATAAAAGCCATGGGTCTCATTGATTTCAGCATGACAAATGGACACGATATTCAGTGGTACAATTATACAGACATGACTGACTACATAACACAGTGATACTGCGGAATCAACAAAACCTCAAAACATTTCTTCAGAGTTTGAAGAGTAGTATTATCACCAAAAATAAGAATTTCAAGCACTGAAGGAGATAATAGTAACTAGTAATATTCTCCAGAAATACTATACTGTTGAGATGTCCTGACTATCAGTCCCTGGGTATGGGTCAAAAACACTGTTTCCTATACTATACTATATATCTCACAATGCAATGCAAGTCCAACATCATCAGAGTTATTTTCATAGACTTGACAAAGTGAGGGTTTCAGAGTCACAGAAGACAAAATGCAACTGTTATCACATGCCAAGTTGAAATTGTAAAATGACATTGTCACATGTAGAATTGGTAGAGTTCACTTTAAAGTAATGACCAACACTTATCTCAGTGTAATGTCTCTAGAACAACAGGAACAAAATATTGGTGAGGCAATGTACTTGGAATATATACTGTCAAGGGAAGCATATTCAGTTTTACAATAGGCAAACTGTAACATAATAGTCATACAACTATGGCAGTATATGTGAAAATCCCAATAAAGGAGCAGCTCCATTGATCACATGATGGTGACCCTCTCAGGTGAAACGTGGGCAGCCGAGCCCACTGGCTCCAGGCGCTGGCACCGATACTGACTGCTGTCCTGGCCCCGGCGGATCCGGTGGAGCTTGTGGGCCACACAGGGGAGCAGCATCAGCACCTTCCCCATTATGACACATACCGGCAGGGCCAGGGCAACCACAAAGCTGGGGGGCAGGTAGAAACGGTAGGCCTCCTCCTCAAAGGCTCGCTTCCAGCCAAACAGCAGGCCGTGGAAGGTAGCGATGAGCAGGGCGATGTAGCCCAGAGTGGACTGGAGCAAAGACAAGGACACTCATGATTGTACATACAGTAACAACTCCTGTGATCGGACAGCAAAGACAGCGAGCCAGTTCAGACACAACTCCAGTTACATGTGGCAAACTTCACTCTGTGTAACACACATTCAGTGTTCTTTATAGCTTGATAGTCTATTTAAGCTGTTTCTCCTGCTCAATTAACGTTGAATGCTAAATTATGGGTTCTCAAACTAAGAGGCGGAGGAAGACATGTGAGGCAAAGAAACAGTGAGAGGTGAAAGGGACGGGTACATGCTGCTGTTCTAAAACACCTGGAAGTTAGTTATTGTAGTTTGGCCACTGACTTGACTCACTCACCAACACGGTCATCAGTTACATATCAGGTTACTGTGTCATAACTCAAATCTGAACACATAGATATGATACAGCTGTGGCTTGGAGGTGGATGATTGGCGGTTTGATCCCGGTCATCGGTGTGTGAGTGTGTAGCGAAGGCTGAGAGCAGTCACCCTATTCGGATTCGAAGCTCTTTGTCGCTGCGGTCAAGTTGCATGTTTGGTACCATATAGACGAGTGTTTAAATCCAGTGTTTAATACGCTCGCCCTTCCCTAAGTGTGTGATTAGTTTCTTTCAACTGAACAGCAGTTGGCACTTTGCATGGGAGCTTCTGCCATCAATGTGTGAATGGGGTGAAAGTGACATGTAATGTAAAGCACTTTGAGTGGTCCGACAACTAGAAAGGCGCTAAGCAAGCACAGTCCATTTACCTTACACATATTTTTAGTTTCAGTGTAACCTAAACTTTCCGTTTATTGTTATAGCCTTTTCCATCGCTGATAAACATCCATAAATTTGCTTAGAAATCATAGAGAAAGCATGCACCTTCTAACCCCAGAACTTCCCTGAGAGTTTTAATGTTTGTACCTGTATGAAGCTGAACTCCCTCCAATTGAGCGTGCTATGGACCGAGGGAATGGAGGTGATGGCCAGCAGTGACAGGAGCCCGAGACTCATGATCCCAAAGGAAACGTACATCTCCACCCGCCACACCTCCTCTTCGTTCCACGCATTATCCACATTAGCATGGATCTGCCAACACAGAGAATGCTCAAAATGGAATTCACCAAAATCATCACCTTTCACTTTTTTCACAGTTTCATACATGGCCAGATTAACCTGCAAAAGACAGGTGAGCTGCTTAGCCCCTATTAAGCCTCTGTCACCCAATGTGTAATGTGTTCAGTTTTTACAGGAAAACTACTTTATAATTCAGTAGTGGAAAGATATTAACCATGTCATCATTTTCATTTGAAAGGTTAAAATCTGTATGACAGCCTCTTCACATTGCTGCTACAAACACAGTTAGTGAAAATCAGGATCAGATTTGAAAGTTACATTAACTGCCTTCAATAAAATGTGAGACTGGTATATTTATAAATTAATCCATTCTCAGCAACACTTTCTGAGTAAGCTGAGAAGGTGGATATCAATCTCATGTGTGGGTGTTTAGTACAGAGTGGACAAGGTTAGAGGACATGGTTAGCCTATCAGAATCTATCAGTCTAGCTTTAAGCACAGACAAGATATTGATATTTATCTTATCTTATCACTTGTATTGTTGGAGCAAATTCTCATATCTCTGAAAATGTTGAACTATTCCTTTAATTTTGGTGGAAATCAGCAGCTTTGTGTGGATGGAAGGTCAGATTTATGAACACTGACCTGCTGGTAGGCTGTGTTGAGCAGCAGGTACCTCTCAGACCTCCTCATGGGCAGACAGAGGCTGTAGAGAACATGGACAGCGGCCAGGAAGAAGCTGAGGAGGCCTAGCTGTTTCCGGCTCTGCAGCCAGCCCTCCAGCCAATGTGGGAAATGCCTGTACTTGGTGCCATAGTACAGCTGGTGGGCAGCTGCCAGCTGGCCCGCCAGGTACACCAGTGCCAAGAGAGTGATGGCAACAGTAGGTAGTGTTCGGTTCACCATCTCAATGGGGATCTTGTAGAAGTCACTCTGCTTGTATTTCACATACGGGTGGATGATATCACGTACAAAAGAGTAGGCAAAAAAGAAAATAGAGAGGGCTACGGCAGCGAGGACGGGGCCCTTCCAACCAGGAAATAACTGAATGGGCATGTTCTCAATGTCTCGCGAAGAAGACAGGGTGCCCATATCCACAGGCTGGAAGTTGAGCTGGCGGGCTAGTTCCATAATCTGCTGTCTGGCCTCCACCGAGTCACTGCAGATGAACACCTACACAGAGCCAGGATTACAGAGAGGAGTTCAGACAACCAGGAAGGATGGAAGAGAGAGGGGACACATAACACATGACATACAGTATATGACATATTCCTCTGTGCAGTAGAGCTTCATTGTTAAAGACACATTACTGAGCCACACCGCTGTACTGCGTGACATGTTCCTTCACTGCCATAAACACACACTCTCACTGGAGCTCCAAATGTGGATTAATCTGCTGCTAAAAACAGCTCCCAAATTATGCACTATAGCCTCCTGTTGAAGTGCCATTAGCACTTAACTACAGGGACCAGCTGTTTTAGGAAATTACTGTCTTTTTAAAAAATGAAACAACATATTTGTAAGCTGTTTTAAGTTTTACGTCTTCAGTAGGAACAAATAAGGCTCGTGGCTGAGAGACACAGACAGGGTAGGGAGATCAGACAGTATTCAGAGATGGAATAACAGCTTGTAATTGTTTTATTAAAATTATTTAATAAAACAATTAATTTAATTTAATATTAATTATTTATTAGAATAGTATCATCTTATTGGTAAATTTGTGGGTCATGTGAAAAAGGCTTGCAAAGCACCAGTTCCTAATCTCGTTATCTCTTTTAATTTCATTTGAATAGATTTAAGAGTCCTGTAGATGTCGCCAGCATTTCTGTAAGTCAGGAAAAACATAATTCTGTGCAGTGGAAATGTTTTTCTTCTAACTTTGAAATCATCTCACCACACCATCAAATTTTTATTATGACCCCAAGGGGAGTCTAGACCCGCAAACTGAGCACCTGATCTAAAGGAAAGATGGAACTTTTCAGTTGGCCTAACCTGTTCATTACACTAACAGATACATTTCCTGAACACTGAATCTTCAATATCTTCAATCTACAATATTCCTGATATCAAGAGTTCTCCATGAAAGTCATCACTTCGATGTAAACAGTACCTTTTAATTTTAGTTTAGTATTATTTTAGTCATTTCAGGATTTATTATACAGCCAAGAGTTATATTCTTGTGAGTGTCCTGTGTAGGAATCAATATGCTCTTTCTCTATGCTCTACCTGCTTGCACTCTGCCTGTGGACTCATTGCACATCAAAATGTGTTGTGGGGGAGTGGCTTTGGAGGGAAGGCCTGAAGGGAGGGGATGGGATTTTTTGGGTTGGACACTTTCAAAATCTTGCAGTTTCTCCAACTTTCCCTACAGAGATTGCGACCACTACCTTCCCAAGTGTGTGCTTGTGCGCGTGCTCAAACTCCTAACTCAGAATCAGTAGGCAAGAGGCTCGGGAGCGAACATGCAGAAAATCTGACCTGATTCCTTCACATATAACGCAGAATAGTGGCTGTTCCAAGGGAGTGGGAACGCAGGTGTGTGGTTAATTTTTACGTGAGGTTCCAACCCATTTACAAATATACAGTAAAAAATGTGATTTCATTAAATAACTACATATAGCCCATTTAACCCCTTAACAACGATTGTCGCAAATTCACATCACACCTCTTCCTTTCGGACTGCAGCTGAGATAGCCTTTGTATTCCCCCAAATGCCTGTTTGTGCATATTCCATAAACCTGGGAACCTTTTGCAAGCACTGGTTTCTCGTTTATGCCTGTTGTCGTTAATTTGCATCATACCTACATCATACCTGAATTTATATCTTTTCTATGTTCTACTTACAAATTTGACTGACAATTTCCACTTAATTTAACATTAACCTGAAAGCAAATGAAAACAGAAATAATTTTATATTTTTTTATTGTAAATAAATTCAGACTTCAAGGGGTTAAGAAAAAACACAAAGCATGCGGCCTTGTAGTAAGGCTTAAAATGGACTCTAAAGTATAAGTATAGTATAAGTAATGGTTTCTAAAGTACATTAATAGCAATATATGAGTATGAATGTTAATTCTTGACCTTTTGAAATATTAAGTTTGACAAAAGAATCATAACTTTGTCTTTTAGCCTGTTTTGGAGCTTTCAACAAGAAGCCCTGGGCCTCCTCAGGGGATAGAGTTTGTTCAGTTTTCGTGGAGCAGGCTCAGGTAAGATCACATGACCTGTGTGTCGAACTTAAATCACATGAAAACAGGTGTGGAAATGGTAACTGCTGTCCCAGTCAGCCGTGAATGTCCTTAATCTTTCTCCAACCATCCACTGACTCCTGGTTGATGACCAGTGAGTGGTTTTGGTCTGGTGTTCAGAGACAGCTGATGTTGTCTGCGTTCATTGTGTCTCTTGTCCAGGGTCCTTCCTGTTGTCTCCTTTCTAGGACATGTCTTGCCTCAAACTTTGTTTGTGTAAAACCACCTGTTATCATGTAACTGAAGGTCCATCCGTTACTACTGACATGATGACAACTGAGCCATCTTGGTGACAACTGAACAAATAAATAAATTTCTTGTTGAAAACCATGAACCACTGAAATCTCCTGTAAGTGGACCTTGAGTTAAGTTTGTTGTTCTTTTTCAAAGAATATAACATGTTTTATTGTACCTGTGTGCTGGCATCTTTGGGGCAGCTCTGCTGCATGGCCCAGGCTGAGATGACGTTGAAGCTTTTCACCACGATGGAGTCAGGCAGCAGTGAAGACAGATACTCAGCGTTAGACTCTGGATACTGGTTCACCCTCCGGTTGTTACTCACATCCACCAGGATCTTGCCTGAAGAAAAGACACATGGCTTCTGGAGTTACCTGCTGTTGGCAGCATGTACCATGAATGTGATTTATTTAAATCATAGTACATCATTGCGCTGTATTAGTTGCTTTAGTACAGTCACTTTAATTTTTATTATTATCATTATTATTGAGAATCTGCACTGATGTTGAAAAGATTATCTGGCTACAATACTTGCAATGTTAGTATTGCATACTTTTATTGTACATAATATACTGAAATCTTTATCGATACGTTCAGAATTTTTCAGGTCTATCTTATTACAACACTCACATCAATCATACACAATTCCGTTCCTCCTGTCCATACTGCCCATGAAGAGATCTTGGAGTGCATCTACTTTTTAAGAGATGGGAAGGACAAAATCCACAGTTCTCCATCTGTGTAAAAATGCATCTCAAAGTTCAGTTGAAGCCAATATGAAGCTTTAACAGATCATAAATCAAATGGGTATCATCCAAAAGGGTGTTTCTTTTGCATTACCTCCACTGCAGCTCAGCAACAAAACACTGCCTGGTAAACACAAAGAAGCAGTTTCATACTACAATTTGGATTTCGAAGCTCCTGGCTGACTTGTCTGACTCAGAGTGCTAAAGCCTCAAAATATTGTCAGCTGAACTTCAGGATGTATTTTTACACAGAACAAGGACTTTGGACAGATTGTGGATTTTGTCCCTTATTTCTTACAGAGGAATCATACCGGAAAGGAATCACTTGGCAGCCAGTGTGGACTAAAGGAATGATTAGTGGTCAAAACTCTTTTCAATGTGCACATGGCATGTGAGTATCAGAACATTCCTTTTAATATTGAGCAAACCCATCATAGTGTATGCTAAACTTCAGTGTTACCAAGGATCTTACCAGCCTAATAGCCTTTTACATTACATTACAATACATTTACTCATTTGGCAGACGCTTTTATCCAAAGCGACTTACATTTGAGGAACAACATACAGGCATCAACAAAGCATCAAAGGGCAGCAATAAATACTAGTAAGAGCTAAGCATTGGGGTAAATACCTAGGAAAAAAAGTAAGAGTTAACAAAAAAGTGCAATTAATACAAGAGAATTGATAGATAGAAGAAGAAGAGCACAGGAACTGTATGTTAGACGTTAGGAGTTAGAGGTGTTAGAAGATAAAGTGTTCTCGGAAGAGATGAGTTTTCAAGAGCTTCTTGAAGTTAGAGAGGGACGCCCCTACTCTGATGCCGTGTGGTAGCTCGTTCCACCATCGTGGTGTTACAGATGAGAACAGGGACTGAGATTGCATTGTGTGTAGGTGTTAGAGCCATTAAGAAAACGTGGTCAATCTTTTGGATTATTTCATATTCGTAAGTTATATTAATTTTCCTTTATGTGTTTCACTTGGTTTGTCTCAGACAGATGTCATTAGTGTATATTTAGAGAATTAATATGTGTAACTGTCCTCCATTAGTTTGTCCTGTTAACTCAGAGCTATTCAAGTGCCATAACATGCAGCTAAGTGTATCAAAAATTAGGTGAGAGCACCTATTGGCACTACTGACAAAAGGGTCAGCAAAGCAGGACATGGAGCAACAGTTTTCTGACCATCGCGTCGTGTATAGCAATAGGAAATTTTGAAGTTACCTGTGTGTAAGTACGTTTGATAGAACACATAGGATTTAGGACTCTGCCTTGAGACTTTTATTTTTTAACAGTCGTCTTTTTTGTCAAATAAAATTTCGGATATTTTTTTCTTATTACATCTGCCTTCTTGCCTCACTGGATTATACAGTTTTGCCCTCTTTGGAAAGCACGAGGCAGAAACATTATGTCCTGCGATAGTGGCAAAAGAAGTTTTAAAATTTGTCACTACATTTAGTCAGAAAACTGCTCCATGTGAGAAAGGACTATCAAGATAACAGCGACACACGAGCGACGAGTTAATTGGCGCCGCGCTGCAGGAGTATACGGAGGATTGGACATCTGTGACCAGAGTGGGCAAGGTGTAGTTGGACTTTGCATGGACTTTTGGACATGAAAACGGCCGGACATATGGAACGTAAGCATCTCTTGTGTGTGTTTTAAATGCTAACTGAGTACAGTACATGTGCCTGCAAAAGGAATGAAACTACTGTGTTAAAACACCAGCTACTGAAGTGACTGGAAGGCTATATACAGAAGCGGCTTGCGTCATTAAATGGAGTAATTTCACTGAGGAGTTTGTGGCAACACAATCATTATGGACCAAAAGGAAACAGAAGCTTCCACAAAAACAAAAAGAGTCACAAATCCAACTGTTAAAGCACAAGAGGAGAAGGTTAAGCAGCTAAAAGGAGCAAGGTGTGCCAAGTTAGGTTATCTTACTAGAAAGATTAAAGAAATAGAAGCTCTTATGGATGATGATGGAAATTCTGAAGAAGTGTTAAAATAGCTGCTGATTTCCCGAGCATGTATATGGAGTTTTGTGCAGTAAACGTTGCAGGTAAAGACCATATGAATGAAGATGTTTTTCAAGATCAGACACAGTGGTATGAGCCAAAAGCCATCTACTTAAGGAGCTTTGTGGAAAAAGTGGAGAGTTGGTTGAAAAAAGTGGAACACCAAGCAGATGAGGCAAAAAGGATTGATGCTGAAGTTGAGCCTGCAGACAGTGCCTCAATGGTATCATCAAAACATAGTAAAAAGGCACAAGGCAGTCAATCCGTTTCTGTTGTGTCTTCAACCACATTATCTGTTAGGCTTAAGGTAGAAGCTGAACGGGCAGCTCTGGTAGCACGTGCAGAGTCACTTTTGCTTTAGGTGAGAAAAGAAGAATTGGAGTTGCAAACAGCTATTGCCGCCGCAACTGCAAATCTCGAGGTGCTAACTGTAACGGAGCCAGCTCATGATGCATCTGCTGAACCCAGAAATAAAATGGCTGCCTGCCTAAGAGCTTCAGGCCAGGGTAGTGAGGGCAGCTTCAGAGCTGTACAGTCAGAACGTGAAGAGTTCCACCAAAGGAGTAATCCTCAAAATAACTCAGAAAGAGGTAGCAGATCTCATTAACTGAACGCTATGGCTAGCAATCATCTCAGCCCAGGAAAGAACAGAGCTGCCGATATTCAAGAAGGACAGACAGCAATCGGGATATCGGGTTGCATTTCCTTGAGCAGTTCACCCGTGGTAGACCTAAAGGTCTTGTTTGCAACTGTTCACACATGCATCCTGATAGAGGCTATGTAGAAGCAATGAAGCTTTTGAACAAACATTTTGGAAATGAATATACCATTGATTCTGCCTACATTGAAAGAGCACTGAAATGGCCAGACATTAGATCAGAAGATGGAGACGCACTTACTGAGTTTGCTGTGTTCCTCACCGGTTGCGGCACAGTTGACAGCATGGAGTATATTGAGGAGATGGATAGCCCTGCTAATATGAGGACAGTCATGTCCAAGCTTCCCTTCAAGTTAAGAGAACGGTGGAGGGGAGTTGCTTGTGACATCCAGGAAAGGACAGGAATGAGAGCCAGGTTCACTGACCGTAAAAAAAAATTGCGTCTCTCCCGTTGTTTGGCAACATACAAGAGCCTGCCTTATCCAGAGATGGGAACAACCTAAAAACAAGGAGAGAAACAACATCTTTGCCATAGATGTTACACCTGTTTCAAGGCACACAGAGCAAGTAAAGAAGGCAAACATTTCCTCAACAAGTGGAAAACTTTCTGTCACAAAGGAGGACATATTCTGGATTGCTGCAAGCTCATTAAGCAGAAGCCTCACAAAAAAAGCTTGAATTTCTCAAATCAAAGGGATTGGGTTTTGGATGCCTGTCACAGGAACATTTAAGTAAGGGCTATCAACAAAGAAGCACATGTTCTCAGAAACATCCCACCATTCTGCACTTGAACAAAGCAGAGCCTGCGCCCTCTGCTGGTGAGAGCAAAAATGCCAAGCAACCAGTTTCAGTTTCGGTTTCTTCTCCTACAAGGGATGGTGAATCTTGTGGTTGCACTGGGGCTGGGGAAGTAGCCTGTGCACTGTCAATCGTGCCAGTGAATGTCAGGTGTCTGAGGAGCAACATAACAGTGGAATCATATGCATTCCTAGATCCCGACAGTACTGGAACCTTTTGTACAGAGGAGCTGATGAACGCTGTAAAGGTAACAGGGAAAGGGGCCAACATTCTGCTCCGCACCATGGGAAAGGAAGTGACAATCAGTACATGTTGTCAAGGGGCTTGAAGTCAGTGGTTTGGATGAGGACAACTTTTTGAAGCTCCCCCAAACATCTTCTCACAGGCGGAGATTTCAGTAAAAAATATTCCACAGCAAAATATTCCACAGCAAAGATGGCCTTATTTAAAGGAAGTTTGTTAATAGGAACAAACGTACCAAAAGCACTTGAGCCGTGGAAGGTTATCAACAGTGAGGTCGAGGGCCCATATGCTGTAAAGACTGTCTTAGGCTGGATCAGGGGCGGATTGGCCACCTGGCAATTCTGGCATATGCCAGAGGGGCCGGACTATTTGTTTCAGGGTGGGCCGGTCAGATTGATATTAATATCAGTGTTTCCCACACATCAGCTTTACTTGGGTGGCCTTTGAGGTACATTGAACGGGCGCCCAACTATATTTGGCGACCCATTTAAGCATTTTGCAGAGAAACACTGAGACAAATGATCATCCATTACGTTATGTTAAGACTCAGAAGGTGGATATTTCACAAGCATGGACAAGATAAGGCAACAGTGAACACTTTGGTACAGGTGCAACTGGGTACAATGTTGGTTTCGGTTGGCTTCCTCATTAACAAGCCTCCTCCATGCACCCGCGGGTGAAAACAGAATCGCGGGCGGAAATCGCGAGTGCTGTGTCATTTCGTCCACTTTATAAAACAGCCCACTGCTGATGGAGAAAGTCAACAGGGTCGATTAATACAGGGTGAGAGAAAGAAAGAAGTAGGGCAAGCCGCTGTGTTTACAGCAGAGGTGTATGTTCCGTGCTTGTGTGGAAATATTCGAGGTGAAGGCAAGGAGAGCAGAATTAAGTAGGCTAGTGAGTAATGTTTTTATTAATGTGTATTCCAATGTTGAGAGCAGTGTGTAAGAATTTTTTTTGCAATGTTCTATAGGCTACTATGTTCACAGATGTTTCTGGAATTGGTATGGACAGAGAGCCCTGGTCTTCTTGTATGCTACCAGTGCTGGGAGGAAAGATGCTACTGTAGGCCTAGCAGAGACAGGGAGTGTTGTAGAGGAAGGAAGAAAACAGTCACACAAAAATGTTTGGGTTGTAATTGACTGCAGTAGAGAAAGACAGTAACAGCAGACAAACAAACAGAGAGCACAGACTCTACAACATACTCAGATGGATAGCCATTGTTTTAACTGCATTTGTTAAACGTGTGCTCTTAAAAAAACTAGTGAGCATTGTGTGCCAGTCACATACATAAGAAGTTATAAATCTGTTACCATTGGTTAAATAAATTGGTTAAGTATGTACTGAAAAATAGCTTGGAACAAGAAATGTTAAATCACAAATGAAAATGCTTTGAGAAAGATGTCTGTGAAGATTCTCAGTCATCCAGGTCATAGTTATCCAACGAAGGTTAAAGTCAAGGGCAACTGGACTTGGTTGAAGATACTGGAAGATGTTTCATCCCTCATCCAAAGGACTTCTTCAGTTCTGACTGACTGGTAGGGAAACTCAGCTATTTAACCTCAGTGGGGTCGTTTGCCAGGATCGACGATACTGCTGGTTCTTTAGTGCTCCTGGTTGCTGTAACGACAGACGTTACAGTCGTAAGGTCCATTTAGAACTGAGAAGTCCTTTGGATGAAGTCTTCCAGTATCTTCAACTAAGTCCAGTTGCCCTTAGCTTTAACCTTCGTTGGATAGCTTTGGGAAATGTTTATTTGCACAATAAAAAAACATGCACTGCAATTTAAATATAGAAGAAACAAATGTGCATTGTCCAAGAAAAAAAGCTACTGATTAGTGAATTATATTCCATTTTACTCCATAAATTGGTGCAGAAAGTGCCATGGAGTTTAATGCTCAAAATCTTCTCACCTGCTGCAGGTGTACTATTATGCAGCCACTTTGCAAGGCACATCTCTAAACTGTTACAAGGGCCAGATCTGACTAGCTCATTTTTTGGCGTGCCGACAAGATTCCAGCAGGAGCCAATTGCCTTCTTGCCTGATATCAAAGGCATATTTCATCAAGTCAGAGTTCCTGCCAAAGACACTGAAATGCTGAGATTTTGAGGTGGCCTCAATTTGGAACTGAAAGAATACAGGATGGTTGTTCACTTCTTTGGTGCAACCTCTTCACCAAGCTTTGAAAACTACGCACTACGGCAGTGTGCTAAGGACAGCCAGGCAAAATTCAACTCAGAAGGAACAAACACTTTCCTGAAGAACTTTTACATAGATGATTTCCGGAACTGAGGAGGTTTCAAGCTCACAAAGTGGATTTCCAATAGCAGAGCTGTGCTTGCATCTGTGCATGAGGCTGAAAGGGCCAAAGAAGTCAAGGAACTTGACTTGGAAAAGGATTGTCTCCCTGTTGAAAGAGCTTTAGGAGTTCAGTGGTGTGTGGAGTCTGACACACTAAGGTTCAGAGAGGATATATGATCCATTGGGGATTTTGGCTCCACTCATCCTCCCACTTAAGCAAATTCTGCAAGAGCTATGCAGAACGAAACATGCATGGCATGCCAGTGGCAACAGTGGGTGACAAACTTGCATCACCTAGCTAGTTTTGAGGTGAAGTGACGCGTGAAACCTTCAGCTCAACTTCACCTCTACTATACCCTGACTTGAGATCACTGCTGCAGTCTTTTGGACCGACAGTACGTCAGTCATTCAGTATCTCGAGTGTGAGAATGCAAGATACCACACGTTCATTGCCAATCGGGTTACGGCAATCAGAGAGAGGTCAATCATCTCTCAGTGAAGGTATGTGAACACAGCTGCCAACCTGCAGACTGTGCATCATGAATGCCTTTCTTAAGGCAAAGACCTAGATCATAGGTCCAGACTTCATTACAAAACCAGAGACTGAGTGGCCGAAAATGCCAGAAACCATAACATGCCACAACACGCCTCTCAGCAATGATCCAGAGATGAAAGAAGCTTCAGTTTATGCACTCATGGCTGAAGAGAGCACAAATGTCACTTCCCTGCTTATTCATCATTATTCAAACCGGCGTCGACTAAAAAGGGGCGTTGCTTGGATCCTTAAACTGAAGTGCATTCTGAAGCTCCTTGTTCAAAAGAGAAAAAACTTGACAGCAACACTCAAGCGGACTCAAAATGGAAAGGTAGAACTAGAGAAACAAATGAAAGACTTTAAAGCATCATTCATCATTCTACCCATCTCTGTTAGTGATGTTGCAGAGGCAGAGTTGGAGATAGTTCGCTTCAGTCAAAGAGACAGGTTCTCTAAAGAAATCGCCATGCTTCAGGAAGGAAAGGATGTGTCAAAAGGTAGAACACACTATCGGCTGTCCCCAGTCATGCAAGATGGCATATTTAAGAAAGGTGGCAGGTTGAAAAGATCAGCCATGCATGAGGAGTTGAACCCCCTGCGATCTTGGCCAAAGACCTGCATATCACCCCTCGTATTCTCAGATCCGTTCATGAGCAACTCGGACACAGCGGCAGAAATCACATCTTGTTCAAAGTACGACAGAAGTACTGGATATTACGATCCCATGCAGCTGTCCGGAAAAACCTGTCACAATGTGTAATCTGCAGACGCCAGCGTGGAAAGACAGAAAGTTAGATCATGGCAGACCTTCCCAGTGAATGAGTTGTACCTGATGAGCCGCCATTCACAACGGTTGGCGTGGACTATTTCAGTCCTTTTGAAATCAAAAGGGGTAGGACTATGATCAAGGGGTATGGTGTAGTTTTCACTTGTTTGACATTGAGAGCTGTGCATATGGAGGTGGCAAGTTCTTTGGACATAGACTCCTCCAGACACGTGCTTCGGAGGTTCATCGCTAGGAGAGGGCAGGTCCAGCTGATATGTTCTGATAATGGAACAAACTTTGAAGGTGCGGAAGGAGAGCCGCAGACTTATTTTGGAGATGTTGGACCATGGAGTATTTACCGGAGTTACAACAGAGACATAAATGGTCCCATCTAAAAAGGAATATCAGTGAAGATGATATTGTCCTCATTGTGGATGAATCGGTCCCACGAATCTCTTGGGTGATGGATCCAGACAGGCTAAGGTGAAAACTAGCACTACGACCTGTGACCAAACTCTGCGTGTTACTTGAAGGTGACATGTAGCCTCCCTTCTACATGCAGCACAAGAGACAGCAGTAAAGGCTGATCTCCAACGGTGGGTCATGCTGAAAGGAGTTCCTGGTGTGGTAAAAGGACTAGCCTATCATATGGACATTATAATTGGACAATATACGTTATTTGTTAGTTGTTTGAAGATGGTTGTTTCATGGCTCTAAAGAATGTTTGAAAGAGTAATTGTTTTGTGGCCCACAAGAACAATTAGGGGCCGGAATGTTAGAGCCATTAAGAAAACGTGGTCAATCTTTTGGATTTTAATTATTAATATTAATTTTCCTTTATGTGTTTCACTTGGTAATATTTTATGTTTGTCTCAGACAGATGTCATTAGCGTATATTTAGAGAATTAATATGTGTAACTGTCCTCCATTAGTTTGTCCTGTTAACTCAGAGCTATTCAAGTGCCATAAAATGCAGCTAAGTGTAGTAAAAATGAGGTGAGAGCACCTATTGGCACGTGCTGCGGGAAAAAAGGGTCAGCCAAGCAGGACATGGAGAAAAGTTTTCTGACCGTCATGTAAAGCAATAGGAAATTTTGAAGATACCTGTGTGTAAGTACGTTTGATAGAACACATAGGATTTAGGACTCTGCCTTGAGACGTTTATTTTGTAAATGTAATAAAACGGGATATTTTTTTTCTTATTACATCTGCCTCCTTGACTCAATGGATTATACAGTTTTGCCCTCTTTGGAAAGCACGGGTCAGAAACTTTATGTCCTGCGATAGTGGCAAAAGAAGTTTTAAAAGTTGCCACTACAATAGGGATGGCAGAGCCAGGCGGCATTCGTTGGAGGAGCGCAGTGGCAGAGAAGGAATGTAAGCTTGCATTATGGAGTTTAGGTAGATGGGTGCAGACCCAGTAGTCACTCTATATGCTAGCATTAGTGATTTGAATTTGATTCGGGAGGCCACAGGTAGCCAGTGGAGGTCACTCAGTAATGGAGTGACATGAGTCCTTTTGGGCTGATCGATAACCAGATGCGCTGCTGCGTTCGGAACCATTTGTAGCACCACACAAGCTGGAAGACCCACATGGAGGGCACTAGACTAAATTATGTCTTCTTTTTTAAAAACTCATACAGATACACATGATCCTACCTACTTTCCTTCAGTCAGCCTTTGCTTTCCTGTTTAGTGCAATACAAAAATCAGTTTGAATAAATTAAAATGTCCTTTAGTTAGCTACTCCATCACAGTTACACAACAGGTCTGCTGTTATGTTGCATGGCGATGCATTTGAAAGCTGAAATGGACAGTTAGTGTTCTCAGTGTGTGTATGAGTGTGTGTTCTTATCTACCTTCCAGTAGATGCTTGAGGTCCCACAGGACAGAGTAGTGCTCACGACGAATTGCCAGGAACACGATGCTGGCCTTCCTCACAGCGTCTTCATGGTGTGTCACATCCACCACATGGGGAAATGACTGGGCTGCCTGTTTAGGATGGCGGCTTCCCACCACTACATGGAAGCCACACCGCAGCAGGCGGATAGTCAGGCACTTGGAGAAGTCACCTGAGCCCAGGATTGCCACTGTGGGTTGGGCAGGCAGGCAGGCGGCCCCTGCATCTCCAACTCCGTTCTTCATGCCATTGGGTAGGAAGCAGGCCTGGGCATGGTGTAGCTGGTGGGAGGAAGAGGCTGTGAGGAACACAGGGCTCCTGCTGCCACCCATCATAGAGATGGAGTCCATCCTTCGTCCCTGTCAGTTGTTCTTCTGTGGTTTTCTGCTTAGGAGGATTTCAGTGGGTCTAATGCAGGTGAGAGGAAAGGAGAAGAGGGGCAGAATTAAAGCATGATTAACTGATTAAGTTTTCATGGAAAGTGATGACCTGCATATGGTCTTAGGCAGAATGACTTGCCAACCCTCCCGATTTTCCCGGGAGACTCCTGTTTTTCATTGCCCACTCCAGGCTTCGTCCTGGAGTCACAATTCTCTCCATTTGCGGTATTTCTCCCGATTTATGACAAATGTTCACAACTTTTTGTCCTTTCCATTGCCAAAAACTTTTTCTGGCACTATAGTTAGTGTTTCTAAGCCCTATAACAACTCTCTCTCTCTACTGTTTCCACCCGGACAACAACATCATAGGTCATATTTTATGGAAAAAATATTAGGTTATTATTATATTCTGGTTTTCTATCTGATGTTCTCCAGCCGCTCTGCCTCAACTCTCAGTGATTTACTGGCTGCTAGCTTTACTTGTTGCTAAAGTAAATGCTAACTGCTACTAAATGGAGCTGTGATTAGCTAGTAAGCTCTGATAGCTGTGCAATTCATTTGCCAGTTATTACCACATATAACCCAAGAATATTATAGCTAAATGGTTGATTAGGTTAAAGTAAGCTAGCCTCCATGTCAATATAGTTTTGTTAGACTAATATAAATAATGTTACAACTTTATGGTTTGCCAACAATGAGTCTTTTATTAACAAGCTTAGTTTTAATAGTAGAAACTGCATATGGAGGTATATTGATAGCAGAGGTCCAAAGCAATAAATGGGCTAAGATCTGAATTTACCAACTTTTACCAAAAAATAGTTTTTTGAACCGCGAGAGCCTCAACTTTTACAACTGTAATTATGCAGTTATGTTAAGAGATCTGGATTCCGTAACAAATATTTCCCATAATATTTCTAAATAATGTAGTCCTAAACAGTATGAATTGCATAAATTGGGTATGGCTATAAAAGCTGATGAACCTGTGAGCCCAAAGGCATGTGTGAGTAGTCATAGTACAACAACGTCACAAAACTTTACACCCAGAAACTAACTTGGGACAATTAGAGTGTAACAGACTTTATCAATGTGCTCACACACTAGTTCGCACTTTTCTGTGTCCTTATCTAATCCAAACATACATCAATCAACACAATCAAAACTGAAGGATTTTTTCACCAGGCACTGACAAACGTAGATACAGTGCATCCGGAAAGTATGCAGCGCTTCAGTTTTTCCAAAGCCTTATTCTAAAATTGATGAAATTCATTATTTTCCTCAAAATTCTACAAATAATACTTCATAATGACAAAGTGAAAGAAGTTTGTTTGAAATCTTTGCAGATTTACAAGTATTCACAGCCTTTGCTCAATACTTTGTTGAAGCACCTTTGGCACCACTTACAGCCTCAAATCTTTTTGAGTATGATGCTACAAGCTTGGCACACATCTTCTTTGCAGAACCTCAGGTTGGATAGGGAGCGTCGGTGCACAGCCATTTTCAGATCTCTCCAGAGATGTTCAATCAGGTTTTAGTCTGGGCTCTGGCTGGGCCACTCAAGGACAACACAGAGATGTCCTGCAGCCACTCCTTTGTTATCTCAGCTGTGTGCTTATGGTCATTTTCCTGTTGGAAGATGAACCTTCGTCCCATTCTGAGGTCCAGAGCGCACTGGAGCAGGTTTTCATCAAGGATGTCTGTACATTGCTGCATTCATCTTTCCCTCGATCCTGATTAGTCTCCCAGTTCCTGCCCCTGAAAAACATCCCCACAGCATGATGCTGCCACCACCATGCTTCACTGTAGGGATGGGATTGGCCAGGTGTTGAGCAGTGCCTGGTTTCCTCCAGTCATGACGCTTTCCATTCAGGCCAAAGAGTTTAATCTTTGTTTCATCTGACCAGAGAATTTTGTTTCTCATGGTCTGACAGTCCTTCAGGTGCTTTTGGTAAAATCCAGGTGGGCTGTCATGTGCCTTTTACTGAGGAGTGGCTTCCGTCTGGCCACTCCATACATACCATACAGGCCTGCCTGAGTGCTGCAGAATAATCATCGGGTTCTTGGTCACCTCCCTGACTAAGGCCTTTCTTCCCAGATTGCTCTAGGAAGAGTCCTGGTGGTTCCAAACTAATTCTATTTATGGATGATGGAGGTCACTGTGCTCATTGGGAACTTTAATGCTGCAGAAATTTTTTTGTACCCTTCCCCAGATCTGTGCCTCGATACAGTCCTGTCTTGGAGGTCTACAGACAATTCCTTGGACTTCATGACTTGCTTTATGCTCTGACATGCACCGTTAACTGTGGGACCTTATATAGACAGGTGTTTGTCTTTCCAAACCATGTCCAATCAACTGAATTGACCACAGGTGGATTCCAATCAAATTGTAGAAACATCTCAAGAATGATCAGAGGAAACAGGATGCACCTGAGCTCAATTGTGAGTGTCATGGCAAAGGCTGTGAATCCTTATGTACATGTGTTGTTATGTGTTATACTGAAAATCAATAAATCAACCTCCCCCCAACCCTTTTTACACTGTAAATGTTTGCACATACAAATCTTATGCACATGTAAATAACTTCCATATTGCACTTTGTCCTTATTCTTTTATATTTTGTATATTCTGTCAGTTTCATATTTTTATATTTATATAGGTTTATGTTTATTAAGCACCAAGTCACCAAAGCAAAATTGATGTTACACAGACACAGAGTTTTTCATTCGTGTGTTTTGGCTTTTGTTTATCTTTTTAAAATATTCTTGGGCATATACCTGCTGGTGTCTTTAATGTTAGGTACAAGTGAATATTGCCAACCTCTTCTATTTAGTACCGCCAATCCTTCAACCTTCTAGCTATTGATGGTAATTTTGGATACAATTATTAAGTGAGTTATTAGTCAGTCCCAAATTGATGGTTTAGTTTAGAATACTTTATGACACTAGATAAATTGGCTAGGTACTGGCTATCAGTTTTCTCTCCTTTACAGTGGTGCCCCAAGGTGAATTTAACACAAGTTCAATTGTATTATCCATCCATCGTCAACCACTTATCCTGCGTACAGGGTCGTGGGGGGGCTGGAGCCAATCCCAGCTGACATCAGGCGAAAGGCAGGGTACACCCTGGACATCGCAGGGCCACACATAGACAAACAACCACTCACGCTCACACCTAAGGACAATTTAAAGTCCCGGAGCACCCGGAGAAAACCTACGCAGACACAGGGAGAACATGCAAACCCAGAAAGGCCAGGGCACTCGGGGTTTGAATCAACAGTGCTAACCACCGCACCGCCCCTCAATTGTATTATTAATTATTAAATAATAGTAATAATAATTATTATAAAACTATTTAATTTAATTATTGATGCCATTCAACCCTAATTCCCAACACTTCCTAATTAATTAAACATGGTGGTTAGTCACTGGAGCACATACTTCTTGGACAGCCTGTTTGAACAGTTTTTTTTTTTTTTTTTTTTCTTTTCTTTTTTTTTCTTAGCAGAGGCATCTTTAAAATATTCATGAGCCCGCTGAGGTTTGAATTAGACACGTTAAAGTGTGCGGCCTTGTTGGAATAAGACAGATATAGGAGCTTAGGGGGACTCATCATTTTTTCGAAAAATACATCCTAAAGAATATCTGAAAAGTTTCCAAGTCATAGTTGCAGTTAGAGTAAATGCAAAGTATATAACTAAAGTAGTTTAAGTCACTTTGACCTTCTTGGATGAAGCATCCATCTGCAAAAAATAAATGAATAAAGAATAAACTGTCTGAAAGCACCACGTCTTCTCTTTTGTCTGCACTGACTTTTGTATTATCAATGACTGGAAAAGATTGACGAGAAAAAAACCCAACTAAATTGTGTTGTGTTAATTTTCGGAATATTACCCCCCTCCATCACAATTGATTTTTTAAAAATCTAAAATAATACCCCGTTGAAGAAGTAAGTGCACGTTGACATTGTTTTGTCGATTGCTGTTTTTAAAAGTTACAATCCATTGTCATTCTCTGTGGTGGAAACCACCGTTCCTGCGCTTGATTGAAATTGTCTGTGGCAGGATAGATTCACAGGAAATGATGCAGCATGTAATCCAGCGTTACTAATTTTATATCAGTACTGACTGACTACTAAAACTGTGTGAGTATGTCAGGCTGCACAGTTGCACTTCTGTTGTACTTCTGACAAAGTAGCTGTGTGCTGTAGTATCAATCCACACATATGTTAAATTAACCAGGTCTGAAATCTTAAGGATTACTACTTGGTAAGTTCAAGAATGAACTGTCAAGGTCAACTGTTAAGTTAAAATGGATGAGAGGTGCTCAAAATCATGGAAAGTTTCAACATCTAAATTTCCGTGGCAAATGATCAAACTCAAACTGCCAATGAGGAACGTGTGATTTGGTTGAAAGCTCCAGATAAAGGGAGCCAATACCAGTTTATTTTTTTATTTTTTTTATTTTTATTTTATTTTATTTTATTTTTTAAACCTGTCCTGCCCAGCAGCCTGGTATAGAGTATAATGACCTGGATACCATATTGTGCCAGACAGATTTTACTTTAACAAGAGAGTATTAAAATACTCCTTTGTCTGTTTTATTATTTATTTAATTATGTATTGATTTGTCACCGGGCCGGACAGGGGGGCAGACACGGGGATGGGGGGGCACAAACAGACAGCACAGAGAAAGGACAACACCTGCAAGAGAAGGGGGAAAGGGGGATGGAGGGTGGGGACAACAGGGAAAAGCTGTGGGAAACACCAATTGCAGAAAGCAACGAAACCTGCAAGAGAACAGAGAGGGGGGCTTGGGGAGGAGAAAAACAACAACAAACAAACACAAACAAAAAAAACAATAAAAATAATAATAATAGTAAAAGAAAACCAGCCGAACAGCAGCAATAAACAGCTGACATATTAATGACATATTAAGACAACTAAGAGAACAATGAAAACAAGAAACAGTCACACA